TGGGAGTGGCAGGGGAAGGAGACTGTAAAATCTCCAGTCAGAGGTGGTATTTGCCAGTTCTCCGAACTCCTCAAAATTTCTGCTACCGGTTCTCCAGAACTGGTCAGAACCTGCTGAATATCACCTCTGACCTAGTTGCATAACTACGCACAATTATGATGGACTTCAACAATAACTTACAACCTGTCCTTGAAATTATTACAAAATTACATGGTCATGTGATCACATTTGGGTGATTGGCAAATGGCTCGCAAGACCAGCTGCAGTAATGCTGCAGTCATGGAACTGCGATGACAATATTTTTAAAGTTGTTTTGATTAAAAAAAATGCCAAAAACTAGCTGTTGATATACTGGATTTGCTTAATGACCGCAGTGACTCACTTTATGACTGTCATGAAAATGGTCATATAATCGAGTCCAGTCACGTTGTGCCTTGATTTACAAAGGCAACAACTTACAACCAGAATTCAGAACTCCTGGTCATAACCTGAGAACCACAGTAGCTGTATGCTGTCTATACCCCTTTTTGCTTTTTCTTGTTTCTATCAATCTCAGTCTCGCCAAGCACCCATCATGAAATCATAGAAGTATGTGTTCCTGACAGAGAAATATTAGAACAGATTGGAAATTCTGCAGATACAGAAGCCAGCACAAAATATCAGAGTCAATACTCAGGCTAGCCAAAACAGTTTCAGTGATGACACATTGCTTATTTATTCCAATTTGTTATATGTTGCTTCCCTATTAAAATAAAATATCTAAAGTAATTAACAAAACAATGGACCAGTCCCACAATTATGTGAATAAACTTCTACCTGATAAACATTTCAAGGATCTGGGGTTTTTCTAATGGAGGAGATTGTAAAGCACTTCAATTGTTTTATATCTAACTAAGTGTCAGCTCTGGCAGATATTCCTGATTCCTCTTGTCTCCTGATCTTAGCCCTATTTTCTATTCTCATATCTTGGTACAAAGCAAGGCCTGTATAGAGCCTGATTTGAGCCATTCCAAATTACTGGGCCTTGTGTTTCAAGGCCTCAGCCAGTCACAATCTCCTACAAATATCTGTCTACCTTTATTTCTCCCTACAATCTTCTCTTTAAGTTGGTCTAAACATGGCCTTCTTCCTGTTCTTCCCTCTAGGGCAGGGGTCACCAACTTTTTGGACCTCAGGGATCACTAAATTCATAATTTTAAATCCCGCAGACCACTAATATGGTCTGCCTAATGACTAGCTGGGTGGGTATGGCTAAGTGATCATGTCACTGGGTGGGTGTGGCCAACTCAATGTCACTCATGACAAGGGGCAGCACTCTGGCCTCTACACACCCCTCACCTCCCAGCCACTCCTCACATTCCTGCCTGGTCTCCTTAGGGCCCCAATAGGAAGCCGTTGTTGGAGCTAAGCAGCCACCACGAGAAAGAGTTGCAAAGCAGCTGGCTCAATTCAAATTGTATCTGACCAAGAAGGGGGCTCAGCAGAAGACACCTCACTGAGGACTACGAGCATAGTCTTTCCAAGCAGAAGGAAGACCTGTGAGAGTGCAAGGCCTGGAGGCTCAGAGGGCTGAGATGGTCAGACAGTTTCAGGCCATGATGCAGTCCCACTGGAACAAGGCCCTCAAGCTCTTTGCCACCAGCGGCACTTCCCTCCAGCCTTCGCCCAAAGCCCCGGACCAGGAGCCTGAAGTAGGCCCCAAGTCGGAATTTCTGCCTCCCTCTGACACGCACAAAAAGACCCCGAAGGGGGAGACTCTCTGCAGCAACACAAATGTTCACTGCATGGCCCAGGGCCCGTAGTTTGAAGACCCCTGATTTAGTGCAATATAAAAAATGCAAATAATTTTTCTCCTGGACCACCAGTGGTCCACGGACCACCAGTTGGTGACCGCTGCTCTAGGGTGATGGTCTCCAGGTTCCAGTCCTTCATGGATATACCCTATAGTTCCTGAACAAACCTGTAAGAGGGATTTAAACATCTTTCTTTATTAGATTAGTGGTTTGGGATGAATTCTGTTTGCTGTGGGTTGCAGGTTAAGATTAGCTTTAAATTATTATGGATGAATATGTGCTCAGTCCTGTTCTGGGGTATTATTTTAAATATATTGTTTGTTAGTTGTTTTACTCTTATTAAAAGGAGTCTGAGCTAATTTCATTGTATTGCATTGATTTGTAATTATTGTATTTTTGTTTTGTTCAATATCTTGATAAATGTGCATTTATTATTATTTATATATTAATCTAAAAAGTTATGGCTATCTTGGCAAAGTATGATGGATGAATTACCAGCAGTTATTCAACGTGATCCATTAAAACGTATAACATTAAAGTTAAAATAATTGATATTTACATACTTTAAATAGAAATAAATCTGGTATATCAGCAGAAATACATTTTTTAAAAACCTGAATAAATAGAAAAAATCTACATACGTTAACAAGCATGCCTTAATAATCGGAGGACATATGAGATTCTACCAAAAAGACCCTCTTCTCAATAACTATCTTACTTATGTATCAGCACAAGTAAGATTAATAAAAACTTTGAAGCAGATCTGAGAAATTATGCAGGTTAAACCGTTTTCAATGTTAACTATTATATATATATATATATATATATATATATCATACAGAAGCCTGATGATGCAATACAGAAGCCTGATGATGGCAGATGAGATTCTGCCGAAACATTGCTACAACTTTAAAAGCACAACTATAATGACGTGGGAAAATACCTGAACAAAGCTGAATGCCATACACACACACACAATTTGAATAATAGCATATACAATAAAATGCAAAATAAAAAAACAGTACATAAACCTTTAAATGCAATTAAAACACAATTAAAAGCCAGCTAAAAGTCTGGAAAAATAAAATTGTTTTCCACCTGTAATTAAAATGATGCTAGGATGGATGCCAGTCAAGCCTCTCTAGGAGGGAATTCCATAAATGGCATATACAGCAGAAAGAGCTCTGCCCCCACCCACTTGTAGAGATTCACCTCAACTCACTTGATGAGGGAACTTGATAGAGGGTCTCATTAGATGTTTTTAGGATCCAGATAGTACAATACTATCTGTATGCAAAGCTTAATGCAACCATCCAAACAACAAAATTCATTCATCTCTAATCTAGGTTCTCAATGACTCAGTGTTAGGTCACTGTTCAATGAGCGTAACTAAGATGCCAGAATTTTATTGAGTCATCACTCCAACACAAATGCTATGAAGTGTTTTGAACCTTGGAAATTAAGTAATTATGAAGAAAGCCAGCACAATCCATACTTTCTGATCAATGATATGACATGCTATCAGCATTTTAGAGAGAAATGGAATAATCAGTACTTAAATCCAGTATTCTACAGAAAACTACTATGAATTTCAACAATGAGAAACAAAAGGAAAATCCACATCCAGTTCTCTAGATATAATTTTTGTCCTATGACTACTAAATCCTATTATTTCATTATTCTATATGCCCTACACATTAGTTGTGTAAAATAAAGTTGCGTAAATGTTGTGTAAACATTCCCTTACCTTTAACTTAGAATTAGATTCTGCAAAAACTACTTTAGGTAGCATTAAATATAAAACCTCCACATTTTATATTTACCTTATATCTTACACATCATATACTTTTTATTTTTAATATTTAGAAATGTGAACTAAGTGATGCAACATTATCTTATCAGTTATATCATTATCCTAAGACAACTAACAGAGGGCAGGAGGGATTAGGAGGCAACTATTATAGAGTTCCCAGAAAATTCAGTTCAAACATCAGTTCTATCAACTAGCTTGCCAATAATACGCACAGAATACATTTAGAAACCTGCTAAAGGAAATATTCACAAAAGAAAATATTAACTTATGTAGAATCAGAAAATAGCAGCAGTTTCATTTATTTGTACAGAGGTCCCATAAGGGAGACTGATAGCCATTATCCACAGTATTTTTAAGAACAACGCTTTCCAACAGCACTACCAGGAAGAAATTCACTGAAAACTTAAATTACAAGTATAACATACAGTTCCTTAAACATAGGCAGAATGTTTAGGCTTTAAAAAAAATCTTAAGTCCTGGAAGACTTTTGTAAAGACAGAACAGTTAGTTGTACTCAAAAATTTATACCATAGCAAGGAACAATGACACAAAATAAGGGACTAGATAAATATACTGGTGCAATCTAATTCATTTCCAAAATACATGCTAATCTCTGAGAATTAAGTTTTAATATCCCCTGTCTTACTGGCAAAACATCAATTCGGAGCATATAGTGTTTGACAGAATTGCTACGCAAAAGCCTTCTTGCATCCCTTTGTAGTTTTCCATATCTGAATATGCTGCCAACAATAAGAAAACAGGAAATATGTCATATTAAAATGTCAGAATACAAAATCAGAAAAAGGCTGATTGCACCTTTTCCAACTAATCAACTTTAAGAAACAGCATAAACTTTCATGAACTACAAATTACTTTATCCAATACCTGCAATTCATAAAATCTTATGCGTTTTCATAAAATTGATGGGTTAGAAAATGTGCTACCAAGCTCCTTCTGATTTTTTGCCACCATAGGTTAACACGGCTCTCTACCTATCATGTCAAAACACAGATTTAGTATGCTGAAAACACACACACAGAAAAAGAACCTAATAGAACTACCAGCAAAATGGCAGCTCTGTGGTGAGGTGAACAACTGCAGCATCTTGATTCTAAAATATGAAACTTATCACAGTGGATCCCATAAAAAGGTTTCTCTACAAGGAAAACAGTCTCAGCACCAACAAAAAACAAAGCTAGAATTTAAAAATATTAATTTATTTTCCTTGATTCTCCAAATTGCATTTTCAGGTGAAATCACCTACAGTCAAGTACTGGAATGTAGTATACATTAGCATTGCAATTAAGTTATTTAATGCTTATTTTAAAGAGTTATGAGCACTGACCCTATGAAGGAAGACGTCAGGCCTTATGAGGATAAAACTAAAAACGTACCTGACCAGAGTTCCCTCCAAGTGTAATGAAGTCTCACTCTGCACTTCTTCTGGTAGCAAAGCAGTTTATGTACTATTTGAATACAGCATCTGGGGCAAAAAGAAAGGAACCCCCAACGTAATTAGCAGTGAAGAATTGGAAGTAATGTATACTTTCAATAAGTAGCTCTATAAACAATGTATCATATAGAACTGTAGCTAATGAAATCAAGGCTGAAAATGTTGAAACACATTAATATCTGAACTACTTGTAAAATAGTACCTCAAACTATCAGTATGGAACATTCAGGATACCAATATACCACTGATACATGTGGAGTTATTAAATTTAGTTGGTATTTAGTTGGAAATCTGAAAGTGGTTGAAATGTGTACTTGGCTACTATTACACACAAATAATTTAGGTTCCAAGAAAAAGGAAAATGAAACATGTTTAACAAAAGCTTTTTTTAAAAAATTGGAAATCAAATCAATCAAACCAAGAACAGTGTTTCCAACTAGCCTGGATATAATATTGAGGTCATACTAAATGCAAAATATGATTTTTATTATTTTGGCTGCATGTATTGCATGAACCCAACCATTAATATTTGCAAATCATGATTTATGGCTTAATATGTTCCCTGAACTTAATCAAAAAATGCTTGTTCAATAGATCATAATTAACAAACTGCGGCTTAGCACATTATACTAACCAGATCATTTAGATTAATAAAATGCCCATTTATAGAAATTTAAAAGCTACAAACTCTTAACACATCACAATATCATATACTCAGAATTAGGAGAAGCTCACCTTGGTTCACACATAATGATAAACTGTAGCATGGCTTGTTTATTTAGGCTTAGTGTGATATAAGTTTCACTCATTATGGCTTAAAATTACGTTACATGAAAATTATTGAATATCTGTAGGGAATCTCCAAGATGCAACATATGCAAAGATTCTAAGAATATTTTTGAACCAGAGGATTTTGAAGGATAGAATGGAAAAAAGTTCCAAAAGCAAAAATAAGAAGAGTTTTAACTAGCTGCAGCACAGGAAATGTTTGGAAGCTATTATTTCTGCCAAGGGTGATATTAAAAAATACTGAATGAAAGGCTGTCATAACTTCTGCACCTGCCAAATCCACTTTTCCTTATTTTGAATAATCTACACATAAATAGTAAGTATGCATTCCATTTTCAGAAAGGTGTCATGTTTAATTTTGTACCAAGGAGAGGATATATCAGCTTCTGTTCACTTAAGGATGCACTGAAACATAAAATTTGACCACAGGGGCCTAACTTTTTAGTTGCAAGTGTATGTAATCCACTATGATGTTTCCTTTGGAGATAACTACCATATTATGTTAAATAATTTAGGGAATAAAAATAGAGATTCAAATCATTTTTCTTAATTTTTTGATGGATTGACCAGAAACATCATCCTAAAATTAGCTAGAATTTCATGTAGTTGTTACTTACATATAGAGATCCATGGGAAATTCTTTCATCATGTGTGTTATTATGAATTCCACCATCAGATCTGCAAAAAAAATGATACAAACATTTAGCGATATTTATAATTAGTTGCCAATCTAACTGAAAATTCTAAGTTATATCATTCTTGGTTAGTGTTATCCACTTTTAACAAAGGCCTAGACATAACATTATTATGTACAATGATTCCAAGCTACACTGCTCAAAAAAATAAAGGGAACACTTAAACAACACAATGCAACTCCAAGTCAACCACACTTCTGTGAAATCAAACTGTCCACTTAGGTAGCAGCACTGATTGACAATCAATTTCACATGCTGTTGTGCAAATGGAATAGATAACAGGTGGAAAGCATACGCAGTTAGCAAGACATCCCCAATAAAGGAGTGGTTCTGCAGGTGGTGACCACATACCACTTTTCAGTTCCTATGCTTTCTGGGTGATGGTTTGGTCACTTTTGAATGCTGGTGGTGCTTTCACTCTACTGGTAGCATGAGTCTACAACCCACACAAGTGGCTCAGGTAGTACAGCTCATCCAGGATGGTACATCAATGCGAGCTGTGGCAAGAAGGTTTGCTATGTCTGTCAGTGTAGTATCCAGAGCATGGAGGCGCTACCAGGAGACAGGCCAGTATATCAGGAGACATGGAGGAGGCATCAGGACCGCTACCTCCGCCTTTGTGCAAGGAGGGACAGGAGGAGCCCTGCCAGAGCCCTGCAAAATGACCTCCAGGGGGCCACAAATGTGCATGGCTGCTCAAATGGTCAGAAACAGACTCCATGAGGGTGGTATGAGGGCCCGATGTCCACAGGTGGGGGTTGTCCTGACAGCCCAACACCATGCAGGACGTTTGGCATTTGCCAGAGAACACCAAGATTGGCAAATTCGCCACTGTGCTCTTCACAGATGAAAGCAGGTTCATATTGAGCACATGTGACAGACATGACAGGGTCTGGAGACGCCGTGGAGAACGTTCTGCTGCCTGCAACATCCTCCAGCATGACCGGTTTGGCAGTGGGTCAGTAATGGTGTGGGGTGGCATTTCTTTAGAGGGCCGCACAGCCCTCCACGTGCTCGCCAGAGGTAGCCTGACTGCCATTAGGTACCGAGATGAGATCCTCAGACCCCTTGTGAGACCATATGCTGGTGTGGTTGGCCCTGGGTTCCTCCTAATGCACGACAATGCTAGACTTCATGTGGCTGGAGTGTGTCAGCAGTTCCTGCAAGATGAAGACATTGATGCTATGGACTGGCCCGCCCATTTCCCAAACCTGAATCCAATTGAGCACATCTGGGACATCATGTCTCGCTCCATCCACCAATGCCACCATTGCACCACAGACTGTCCAGGAGTTGGGGGATGCTTTAGTCCAGGTGTGGGAGGAGATCCCTCAGGAGACCATCCGCCACCTCATCAGGAGCATGCCCAGGCGTTGTAGGGAGGTCATACAGGCACGTGGAGGCCACACACACTACTGAGCCTCATTTTGATTTGTTTTAAGGACATTACATCAAAGTTGGATCAGCCTGTAGTGTTTTTTTCCACTTTAATTTTGAGTGTAACTCCAAATCCAGACCTCCATGGGTTGCTAAATTTGATTTCCCTTGATAACTTTTGTGTGATTTGTTGTCAGCACATTCAACTATGTAATGAACAAAGTATTTATTAAGAATATTTCATTCATTCAGATCTAGGATGTCTTATTTTTGTGTTCCCTTTATTTTTTTGAGCAGTGTATATTGTTGGGAAAGGAGAAATCTTACAGCTTTTGCAGTAAGGAACTAAGGGACAGGAAATGTAATTTGGAGAGAGGAAATCTTCCACAACATCACCTATACTCAGAAACATTTTACTCCAATATACAAACACAATATATTTATTCAAAGTTGACAAAATAACCCAAACAGCTTTGGCAGCTTTCCTCTATCAGTATTTTTAAAAAATGCAAAATAGAGGAGGTCCTAAACAATCCTTGCATTCAGTTCTCCATAAAAGCTTCTATACTATATTGCATTTATATACAGCACTAGCCCCAGAGGTGGAATTCAGCAGGTTCTGACCAGTTCTGGAGAACCGGTAGTGGACATTTGAGTAGTTCAGAGAACCAGCAAATACCATCTCTAACTGCAGATTTTACACTATCCTTCCCTTGCCACGCCCACCAAGTCCACCCAGAACTGGTAGTAAAAAAATTTGAATCCCATCACTGACTAGCCCCATATAAAAGAATTTAACCAGTTATTCCATTAGGATCTAGAAGTCTTTTAAAATAAATATATTTCCTCACCTTTCAATTAGTTTGAAATGGATTTGTCTAGAAAAGCTTTTACTTCCTGTCAAAAGAAGGAAGTAATAGGTGGGAAACCCAGAACTGCATTATATTGGTAAATGAAACACATTTCAGAATTGGCTTATAAATATTTTCCCTCCTGCACCAACCCTTTATTCCCCCCATCTGTTGAAGAAGCTGTTGACAAAATCTGGCAGTTAGACTTACCCAGCACTGCACAAACTAGAGGTCGACAGGGAAGATTCTTATCAGCGGCTTTCTTCCTGTGTCTCATAGGCTTCAAACACATGAAGATAAATTAGTCAGAAGGTATTAAGCAGTGATTACCAAAACTATTATTTTCCATATAAACCAAACTGCTCAGAAAAGGACGGTTTCATCCTCTCGTATAGGTATCCATAACTGGTCACAACAGGGGAAAAATCATGATGTTCACATGATGACAACATCATGCAAATCCAGTCTATCTTCTAGCGTCCTGATGTCAGATGCAAGTATGTAATTTTGGGAATTTCTGTGATGATATCATGCTGCATATTACTTCACTTTCTCTCTCCCTGCAGATACTGATATTCTTTTCAATTCCACAGCAGTTATTTTGTTCATTAAGCTTTAAAGCAAAAGGACAGCTTAGGCAACTGCAACTCCAACCAGAGTAGAGAGAAAATACTGAGATGGTTGGACAGATTTTCATGTAATCATTATATCTTTATCTATCAGCAGGAAAAATAGAAGAAGCAACTATTCACACAAGATATACACAGGCTGCCTTTGCCCAATACACTTTGATTACTTGACTCAGGGAGACTTTAATGTAACCCAGTCACTGCTTGAGTTAGAATACATTAGATTTAGTTCAAAACTAAGTACAGGGTTATTTGTGGTTAAACTCACTTTCTTTGTCTACTGCTGAAACAAAATTAAATCCTACAATTGCTCTAAAAATGAGTGCTTTAGGAATTTCCACTCTTTGTCCCTTCTATTTTTAATTTTTTCCTCCTGCAGTCACATAGTATAAGATGAAACAGGGAAAGAAATTAATGGGGTTATGTGTATGTGTGTGTGTATCCTTAATATCTCCCTAGATCTAGTTGTCTCTCGCTGCATCAATGCAAATTGCTCTCCACTCTCTACAAGCTCACCCAATCTAGAAATCTTGATGAGGTTGCTTGACCATGACTATGAGCCAGCCTTGCATTCTGCAATAAATACAGGTGAGAAGATAAGGCCAGAACACACCTAGTATACCTAACACTCACCAGAAACTTTCAGATATTTACCAGCAACACCAAGCAAATGCTTAATACCGAAGCATCTGTTTTATTTATCCAATTTATGTGGCTAAACATCAACAAGTGACTCTGTGTGGCAAACAGAATTATTTTTTTTAAAAAACTAACAAAGGTTAAAATACAAAGCAGCTGAAAAAATCAAATCCAAATCAGTAATACAACCAAGAATTGAAAGAGAAAAAAAAATCCAAGGATGACTTTGACCTAACAGAGTTCCTGATCAAGACAGCTTACCATTCTGTGGAGGTTTACACGAAAATTCATATTGTCATCATGCAGAAAAGCATTAGCGTACTGGTCCTATGGAAAAAGAAAAACAACCAAAATAAGAAAGATCACACATTTAAACATCAAGGTAGTATTGAAAGACAACATTTATGAATGAAACAATAAGAACTCTTACTCCTGGCAGATGATTCAAATGTATTTCTTATCTATGTTGACTACTGTAATTTTGATTATTCCGGTTGGTTGATGACCACACAGATCTCCTTCAGAAGGGCTTTCCCAACCTGATCCTTCAGGCTTTCCTGCAATACATCCTCTCCACTGCAACTGGATGTGCCCACCTTGCTGCTGGTTATCCTCATCTTCTCTTTCCTTCCATCTTTCCCAGTATTATAGACTTCTCAAGAGAGCTAGGTGTTTGCATAATATGTTAAAGTATAAATTGAGCCTGGTCATCTGTAGCTGAAGTGAAACTCTGAATTGATTTTTCTCTGAATTAAGTTTGTTTTCTTAATAATCTGTGGAATTCCCAGGAGTCCTCTTCAATACCAAAGTTCAAAAATGTCAATATTTTATTCTACTTTTTCAAATTACAAATTTTGCTTTCATAAATGGGGGAAACTATTGCCTTCATAATTTTGATATTTGTAAGAATAGACATGTCCACATCCAGTATTTCAGTGTATCTTCATTGTCAGTTCTAAGGCAGGTTGCAGTACTTGTCATTAACTTGGTCTTCTTTAATATATATCTTCATCACATTTTTACTGTACTTGCCTTTTATTACTACTATTTCCAAATTATTTGCATCTTGTGCTACTACATTCATGTCATCAGAATAATGCAGGTTATCAGGATTTCTTTCTCCAATTTTAAAACCGCAACCTTCTTCCAGTATTTTATGAGAGAAAGAGTATTTGGATATGAACAAAATTCTCTTTCTCTCATAAAAATGGGAAAAGGAAAGCAATGTTACACTTCAAAAGTTTCCTTTCCCAAGCCTCCTTGACCTATAAGGTGAAAAAGAGGACCTCTTTTTATATGTGAAAAATAAACAATGGTATCCAATATTACAGTCTTGATTTTTTTACTCCTAATAATAGTTGTAGCTAGATTGGAAAGATGTTTTTGGTTAGCCAAATCTCACCAAGTGATTACTTCTCAAAACTGCAGTGATTATTCAGAGATGGAGGAAGGTAAAGGAATGCATAGATCCTAAGGGATTGGTTTTTACATGTGCTACTAAGATGGAGGATATGGACAGGAAAAACTTACCTCTGCTATGCAGGTTAAGATAATCAGACAGAGCTTTCCACTATGGAGTCGGTGTTCATCTGCAAATGAATATGACGACACATATAAGCCATCATTCCTTAATATATGAAAAGGTCAATATGTGAATCATAAATCACAGAAATCCATAAGTACAATAGAGCAAAAGATGTTACAACATAGTACTTCAAAGCTATTACCTAGAATCCCACAATAATAACAAGAATTTTGTTATTTTTGTTTTTAACCCTGGCACTATCGTCTTCGGCACTAGTATTTTATATTGTTAAAAAAGTGATGATTCTCTTGACTATCAAACAGCATTGCTGTTGGCCCCATACTAGTAGCAGGTTCTATGTGACCCAGAAAAATGAATCCTGATTTAATAAACCGGGAATTGCATGACTTTCATACACTTTCACACTACTCTTTTGCTCTAGTCTTCCAGCTGAAACATTAATCATAATTTCCTTAGACAATATTAATTTGTTGCAACATCTGGATCATTTTCTACCAGTACATGTGACTGTAAAACTGTATAGAGATACCTTTAAATATCAGTAACACACCTGACCTCCACTTATGACAATTGAAAAACAAGCTAAAATGCTCTTTTTCCAGGAACAGCAGCTCTAGAGACCCATAATACTTTAGAGTCTTGTTATCTTTTCACTGCAAAATCCAGAGATTTACTGCTCAGATGTCACAGTTAAGTCTCATCCTCGGGCATTACACTGCATGTATTATTCCTTCATGCCAAGCATTAACTTTAGATTCCTGCGGTTATATACTAGATATGTTTATTTACCAGCATTTTCTTAGCTATATAACTGCTTTAAGCAGTGCAATGCTCTGTGGTTTAGCACTGAAACAACTTTCCAAGTCTTAAATGCATTATACAATAGCACCCTTAGCACAAGTCCCCTAAGAACTATGCCGATTTTGACTTTTGTTATGGATGAGAAAAAAACACACAGAGAAGACTATTCTTTGTTGTTATATATTTGACTAGAACTTCCTTTTTCTCATTGTCAAACAAAGTTGAGACGATTAACAAATAAAAAACATCAACATGATAATAATAATTAGGGGATTCATTATAAAGTACTGCCATACTAAATATTTCAAGAATTGAACTAAGCATCAATATTGAAAACGTCAACCATTGTGGCAAATAATCAGTCACTCCCACTGTAGCAAACAGCATCCAATACTGAACTATTATCATACTCCTAATTAATAGAAAAAAGCACAAACAGAATTTATAACTATTCTGTATTTAAAAAGGGAGCAAATGAAAACTTTCCTATTAAAAACGAAATTTAAATCAACCCATGACTTACAGAAATTACTGTTATAACACATCAATATAGAGAAAAATGTTTAATGTCTACATACATAGTTATTCAATCTGCAATGCAAATGTAAAAGGAACTGCATAATGCTACCTTAGTAAGTATGGGGGCTCATCACATCTACTTCTATCATTTAATTCAATGGCATAGCCTGGACCTTACAAATCAAGATTGGTTTAACCAAAGTGGGGTAAATCAGAATGTCCAAAAACACTACAAATAGTAATTCATAGTTAACTTTCTAGAAATAAACCAGTTTGAATCTATGATTTCAGATGGTTTATAATTCCCATTTTAAGGATACAGTAACATATATCCCAAAATCCTGCTGTGGTTTTATAATTAAATCACCAATGCATGATGCTGTAAAGCAAAAACAACCAAAATAAAAACAATTATAAAGCATGACCGTCAAACTCCCGGCCCATAGGCCGGATGTGTCCCTCACTGACCACACCCAGTTTAACAAAGGGGAGGGAGTCCCGAAACGTCATGTGACGATGCTGTGATGCCGTGAATTTGACCCCTTAATTAAAGAAACATACTTCAAGCTTATCCACATTTGCTTTCTCTTTCCATCTCATCCTCTTGACAATATTTTTCCATGAACACTAATGTCTATTTCAACTCAAAGTGCAAGGCAGAGGGGAGGATCTGACCTCATATGCAAAAAAGTAAGCATAATAGTTTGATAGCAATTTCATAGAAAAGCAAATGTGATTCTCTTAAAGAAAATCCTCAAGAAGAACATATATTACTTGTTTAGCAACTATCACTGTGATTGTTCACAAATCCAACATAACTGAACAGTAGTAAAAATTATTGTTGACCAATGTGCATACTTAACAACCAAATTTTTGCATCTGAGCAATGCCACTATTGCTGCATGAGAGAACTTTGTCTAATTGAGATAGTAGCAACCAGAAGTCTCTCTCCCTCGGTCACGTGGTTTATTTAGTGACCATTTTGCTTAACAACAAAGTTGCTGGCGAAGATTGTAGTCACTAAACGAGGAATGACTGAATTTTACATAAAAATTCACCATTTATCTTTCTATGAAAATGTAGATTCAATAAGGAAACAGACACGAATCCCACTAAAAATGCTGACACAAAATCCACAGAAAATGTCTGGGGGTGGGGGACGGGAGACGGGGCACTTGAACAGATATCCCCTGAAGACATAAACGGCAAAAGAAATTTCATTATTCTATGCATGTACAGGCATAGACAAACACCTATATTACTACACAGTGTATACACACACAGTGTGTGTGTATAATACACATGCAGACGCATAGATATTGCAGTATTGGGTTGAAGAGGTGAAGTAAAAACCCAAGAATTGAGCACTTTACTTATCTGATGTTCTATCTGCCTTATTCAACAATCAAAATAATGTATGAATACAGCCAACATAACATAAAACTGCAAGTTTGCCTTGGCATGTTTGTGCACAGGCCATTATGGGTTAGCCAAAAATTTTAAATTCAAGCCAAACCTTATCACCTTGATACAGCTTTCTTGTACCAACTCACAACAAGCCGCTTTCCTAGCTATGAAGCAGAGGTGGCATTCAGCCGGTTCTGACAGGTTCTGGAGAACTGGTAGCAGGAAATTTTGAGTAGTTCGGAGAACCGGCAAATACCACCTCTGACTGGCCCTGCCCCCATCTATTCTCTGCCTCCCGAGTCCCAGCTGATAGGCTGGGTCTCCTTTTGTTGCCCTGCACAGGAGAACGGAGCTGGAAAGCAGTTAGTGGGGTGGGGAGAGAATGGGATTTTGCAATAACCTTCCCCTGGAGTGGGGTGGAAATGGGGATTTTGCAGTATCCTTCCCCTGCCATGCCCAAGCCACACCACACCCACCAAGCCATGCCCACAGAACCAGTAGTAAAAAAAATTGAATGCCACCACTGTTATGAAGCATCACATGTGTTTTGAAGAGTGCATAATGTTTATTCTCAACTCAGACTTCTGTCTTATGCAGTATTCCCTTTGGGATATTCTCAGAAATGCGGATATATACCTCTCTATCCTTTGCTTTCTTAAGATATAATTGTCAACAGTTTTATTTCCTTGGAAGAACATGACAAATCTCTTTTACATATTTTGTTCTATATTTGGGGTTTCTCTCCTTCAGCATCAAAGCTCCTTGAACTCTTATAACTGTCATCTGGTAATAAGAAATCAATTCATACTGTCAGTCTGAAGAAATTTATTATCCATGATGAATAAGCTAGATTGTTTTATGCAGTCAAATTAGTAACAAGCTCCCCCCACCTGCAAATTGATTTCAGAAATGCCTACCTTTGGTATCCTGCATGACAATAGAACTGTACTTTAAGAAGGTTATCAGCAGGTTGCTTGTCTGCACGTCAGCATCCAAGGGCAGTTCTACAGTGCTTATGACTGGGAAAAATCAGAGAAGGTGTGCTCATCAGTAAAACTGAACCATCCTGAAACCCCTCCAAGTGGAGGTAAAGCAACATGTTTCTATTATTAAATATTACAAATCTTAGTCTTTGCTTTAACAATTGTTTATGACATCAAGCAGAATCATTGTAGATTATCAATTCAGAGATAAGAAAAATCAAGCAACCTTGCCACTGAAACCCACAAACAATGAAGTGGAGTCACTCCCAAATAAAGCACATCGTGTTTCTCTTGAGCAGGAATTTTGTTATGGTTTTTCCTTTGTCATTTGTGAAGTTGTTTATTATTTTGTACCGCTTATATTGTTTTATTTAATTTTACAGTTACTGCTCTGGAGGCTGCTCAAAAATCAGATATGATTAGAGCATCATAAGCCCTGCACAAACGTGACACAAATAGATGCTATTTGTGGGATTGACTGTCTCTGAGGCAAAGTCATCTGATGGGACCTAAGAGGTATGGTTTTCCTGTGACAGCATCTGCCCTTTGAATAATTCTGTTCCCCCCACCCCCACCCCCCAATTAGGAGGAATCCAATTTTGTTAGTCTTCCAGAAAGTCTTAAAAAGCTGATTTCTCCCACAGGCAATGGGATAGGATTACGTATGAACCCATCTTCTGGGAGATGGTATGTATGTTAGATAATCGAGGCTGCGTGTATATTGGTTATGGCTTTTGTTTCTTTTTTTATATGTTTTTAAATTCTGATTATTATTTTTTTGCTTTTTTTTACTTGATGTGTGCCACTTGAAATTATAATTACACAGATTTAGAAAGCATAATAAATCTTCTAAATAAATATTAATGTGAAACATTAGAACGGTTTTAATATGTGGTACAAGTCAAAAGCAACGTACAGTAACTAATCCAAGACTCAAGACTTATTTTGCACAATCCAGCAGTGGTACTCAGGATCTTAAATACTCTGGACTAAATTCTTCAAAATATAAACTGCCCTAATACAGATAATACAGATAATCAGAGTTGGAAGGGACCTTGTAGGTCATCTAGTCCAATCCCCCTGCCCAAGCGGGAGACCCTACACCATTTCTGACAAATGGCAGTTCAATCTCTTCTTGAAAGTCTCAAGTGATGGCGCTCCCACAACTTCCGAGGGCAAGCTGTTCCTTTGGTTGATTGTTCTTACTGTCACAAAGTTTCTCCTTGTTTCCAGGTTAAATCTCTCCTTGTTCAGTTTCCATCCATTATTCCTTGTCTGGCCTACAGGAGCTTTAGAAAATAGCTTGACCCCTTCCTCCCTGTAGCAGCCCCTCAAATATTGGAAGACTGCTATCATGTCTCCCCTGGTCCTTCTCTTTACTAGACTAGCCAAGCCCAGTTCCTGCAACCGTTCATTGCATGTTTTAGCCTCCAGTCCCCTAATCATCCTGGTTGCTCTTCTCTGTACTTTTTCTAGAGTCTCAACATCTTTTTTTATAATGTGGTGAACAAAACTGGATGCAATACTCTAGGTGTGGTCTTACTAAGGCCTCATAGAGTGGTATTAGTACTTCCCTTGATCTTGACTGTATCCCTCTGTTAATGCAACTTAGGATTGCATTAGCTTTTTTGGCGGCTGCTGCACACTGCTGGCTCATATTTGCTGGCCCTTTGACTGTAAAACAGCCATATTTAACATAAACTGTAAAACAAAATATTGCTTTATTCCTCTGGATTTTTTATGGCACACTATGAATGGGAATCATCCTGGCATGCTTTTTTTTTCAAGGGAAGTAAGAAAATATGTACACGTTCATAGGATCCTTGAAAGTACAGAAAAACGACGAAAACCACAAATAAACTCCGATAAGGTCTGACTGAAGCAGACCACATAAGAATTCCTTTTATAACATTAATTCATCTCCAGGAAATAGGAAAGTAGAATTCTCTGTGCATATTTACAACAATTTAGATTTGTCTATGTAAATTAGAAAATGAGAGGAAAAAGAGAGTTGAAGGTAAGCACACAAATTTTGCCTGCTGCATTAAAAAAAAAGTGTGTGGGCAGATATATTTGCAATGAATAATATGAAAGAAGCTTAAGCAGCTCTAAACCCTTAGCATCATATAGAATACCTACACAGAGAGGTAGAAGACAGAATTCTTTACGAAAAAAAACCCTAAGGCTTTTGATATCCATGGCAACAAAGAATTTATCTTCTCAGAGAAGAATACTCTTTACCAGGATGCCAGAGTGACCTTAATAGCAGCTATTACAGGATAAGATTCCGTTCTCACTCAAAGGCTTACAACGTTTTATGAAATATATCTTATTTTTCCATTAAGATATCTGTAACACATAAAGCAGTCAACATGCACAGGGCAACTACGCAATTGGATATAGACAACTGATCCTATTATCTAGGACGGTCTTACACATCTTCATGTGCACAACCGTGTATGTGCCACCAGCCAAAGGGTAATGTGTTATCACATAAAAATAACATTCATAAACAGATTCTCATTTGGGAACAATTCATGATTAAGCCAGGTAATATAATGGTTCTATAATCTATTCCTGACAAGGGTTTCTGCTAGGATTCCAGGATCTATAAGCCCTTATGCTTTTCTGCATAAAAGGGCCACTTGTTTTCTTGCCTAGAGTACAGAAATGCAACAAGCTTGCATAGAAAATCAAACGGCTCACCATCAGAAGAAGGCGGTGTGGTTCCAAGTGGAGTAACGGGTGTAGTTGGAACTGGGCTTTCTGGCATTGTCACTAAACCAATTTCTGGATGACTCTAGGAAGTAAACATATATCCAAATAAATTTACATTCAATGACACCTGTATTACCTTAAGTATCGTTTAGTGCACCCCAGTCCTGATATTGCAGCTATTTTTCTTCTACTATCTTATCATACCTACAATCCTTGCTAGAATCTGTCATTATTTTCATGCATATTAGAAATCACTGAAAAGCTTTTTAAAAGTTAAACATCTCTTAAAATTAATCATCTTACAAAAGTTGCTATGAAAGCAATAACTGCTTCCCTCTTCTTCCATTCCCTCTCTTAATATATTCCTGATTATACTGCAAGTCAATGCATCATGTTGCTACCCTGCTGCTTAACCCAGGTGTTTCGGGAGAACACAAGGCTATACAAATATTGTTATTGTTACCTGTTCTGCCTGCCTGCTTCTACTAGTTCTTTCTACATTTCAACTCAGGCAGAAGCTCCCCATTTAATTGCTGATTTAACTATAGGGTTCCATTTGTAATACTGTCGTCCATAAAAACAGGCAAGACTTTACATCAGCATGCTATTCTATTTGATGCTCAACTGTGAAATAATGAAGTCTGTTTTACATAGTACCTTTCATATCAACATATTTCCAAATGTTCTCTCAGCAGCAAGCAGATTTGAAATGCATTTTGGAATTACCAATCTGCTTTTAATTGTACAATATTTCATGTAAGTTTACACAGGGGCCTGCTATGGCAGAAATTTTGAAAGCTGGGTTTTTTAATGGATTCTTCACTTATAAGGATTAACTAACATTTTTTCAATTTTTGAAATTAACCTCTGAGGCCAACTTTGAAATAAAGTCTCCATTGAAAATAATGCACATGAATGACTCCATTTCCATAGTTTAATGATTTGGGTTCTCTTATAATCAGGTTTTATAACTCTTCTTCCAGCTAAGTGTAACAGCACCGCCTAGCAGCAAGATGCTGGTGTGGCAATTATGAAATGTAAGCTTCCACTAACTGCAGTAATTCCTATATTGCTCAACTGAAAAAGCTTTAACCCACATGTATCCTGCTCAGCATTGCTCTAAAACATCCAAGTCATACAAAAGTGAATACACTGAACAAAGCAACTCTCATACATAAATTATTATCTTCATGATAGCTATGATCCCAACATCAAACAAAACATGTATGTAAACTACTCACATCTTTATGCTAGATTTATTATTTATGATACAGAGTACACCTTGAAATATTTATTTGGAGCAACGTAAGTTCACTAGCAGCATGATTAAATTTTGATTTTATTCAGACTTATTTAAAGCGGATTTCAATCAGTATTCGCCACATCTAAACATCATTTAAAAGCACCCAAGAACAAAACTCAGAATGGCAGAGATAGAACTTTTTTTAAAAACCTATTTTTGCAAGCTTCTACAAACTCTGCATAAATAAAAGAAAAATAGTGGAGGTTGATCCCTACAAGAATTTTCAAAGCACTTTAAGTGAAGGGAAAGATATTGTATAGTTTTGGATTCAATTAGCTGACAGATAGCTCTAATCAAAATGTTCACAATTATGTATGATATTCTTGACCCAACTTAGGGACAATTTTATATGTTCCAGGTCTACTTATTTTCCCTTGCCTTCATAAACAATCTGACCTGAAGAATTCAAAAGGGAATGAAGTACAATTCTGAATAACATTGGCTTGTTGTATTGCATATAGCAGCCTACTGTATATGCTGGCCAAATGAGTAAATAAATTCAAAACAAACTTCTTTCTTGATTCAGTAATTGATCATGATGTTTCTTTGTTTGATTTAAAACTCATCTTTTGTACAGGAATTCAAAACAATACCGTATACTGAATGCACCTTTTTCCTATTTATTCCCACAACAGAACCCCATGACACCAGTCTGAGCAGAGACAAAGTGACTGGCCAAAATCACTCCCTGACTTTCCATATCTGAAGTGGGACTAGAATCTAAGTCTCATGGAGCCATTCCAAAACTACAATCTCTAGACCAGGGGTTGCCAACCTTTTGGACCTCAGGGACCACCAAACTCATAATTTTAAATCCCAGGGACCACTAACCGGTTCTGTGGGCATGGCCTAATTTGTGGGTATGGCTTGGTGGTCATGTGACTGGCTGGGCATGGCTTGTATGTAAATATTTATGTGAATATTGAATTTTTGTATATATAAAAAAGTAACTTTTACCCCAAATCAGGCAAAGCAGGCAGGCAGATTGAGTTGCTCACAGAATCACAGATTCATTCAGAAATCTATCTATCTGCCACTGGCTAGCTCAGTCTGTCACATAAAATTTGCTTGCAAGCAAACTCACAAAATTAACTCACAACACACCATGTATGTAAATATTGAATTTTTTATTTAAAAAAAGAGCAACTTTTATCCAAAATCCGGCAAAGCAGGCAGGCAGGCAGATTGAGTTGCTCACAGAATCTATCAGTGATCTATCTATCTGCCATCGGTCTCTCAGTCTCTCAAATTTGCTTGCCATGAGTCTGCACTGAATAATAGAACCTTCAGTCCTAAGGGAGGTTCGGCTGTGCTTAAAAGCAGATCTAAAGGCTAGCTAGAAAGCAAGAAATACAACCATTTCTTGCTTCCTAGCTAATCTAAATCTCCTGGCACAGCAGAACAGATGATGGTCTAAAAAAGGAAAAATAGTAATTTCGCAGGCAAGTTTGCCAGGTAAGGAGTGAGTGGGCGGGGAGGGATCCCCCGGGTCATTTTGGTGGTGCAGCCTTGTTTTTCTGCGCAGCCTGGATTAATTGCTCTGGGGCCCACCAAAATTTTCTCACGGCCCACCGGTTGGTGACCGCTGCTCTAGACTATGCTGGTTGACCCACCCCATTTTGGGCTGAGAGCTGTATAGGTATTTGATCAGCCTTGATCCTTCCTGTCTTGTGGTAGGGAGGGGAGAGCAAACAGGAATGCTTTAAACATTTGAATTAAAGGAACATATTTTCCAACTTCCAAATCGAAGCATTAGCAAGTTACTGAGATCAAACAGAGCACTTATCAAATACACAAACAGGATGAGTTTTAATCTCTTTAGAGTAGCTACTTTCAAAGGTCTAAGCTATTTTTCAATTTGGATTCTACAGATACCTCAGATGTACAAAAGTGAATAGTACTACACCTGTGCCAATACAGTGATAAAGTTTCGATTCAAGTGAACAGCTTCATAAAGAGCCAAAAGGATAGCTTCATTAGTTCTACAAAAAGAGCAAAAGAGAAACACATTTATTGCAGTAATGAAATTTCTTGGAACACTTTGCCAAGTTATAGTAAGGGGAATAGGTAACTGACAAAACAAAAGAACCCACAAATCAGAAACATGAATCATTTCAGAATGTTTTCTCATATTTTATTAATAATAAATAATTAATAATACAATTTTAATAATATTAATTTTGTCATACAACATAATAAACTGTATTGTGTAAAAATAGGCTTTACATGGTGGTGAATCAAAACATTTAACAGGTACAATAAAATAAAACTAGATAGCATTATGTATCTACCTAGATCAATTAAAATAACCCTGTACTTAAATAGGAATATTTTATGAAGTATGTTAATTTGTGATAAGAAAGAAGCAAATAATGTATTTTATATACAATGGGCAGAACTGTCACTGGAAATGACTGTAGAAAACTAACAATATGAAGGAAATCACTGTGAAAGTTCTGTCTTTCATGCTTACCAACAGTTTGAACCTTTTTGGTTTTATAAACCAATCAACACTTTGAATTGAAATCAGAAACACTCTGACAACTAGTGCATATATACAGAATTAGTGAGATACATTCCATTCACCCTGTTCCCACTGTCATCTCAGCATACTATACAGGTAGTCCTCAATTTATGATCACAATTAGGCCCAACATTTCCACTGCTAATTAAGGCAGTATGACTGTATGATGAAGACTATCTATATATCAAATTACTGGAAAACCTTCAGGGGCAGCGATCAAACCGATCTTCCTGTCCTGCACTATTTCTCTGAGGTGTTCTATGCTCTGGCTGGTGTCAGCTTTGACGGTGTCCAACCACCTTGGGTGACCTGGTTTCCTTTTACCACTAACACTTCCAAACACAATTGCTTTCTCCAGTGAATTCCCCCACTACATGACATGGGCAAAACAGGTGAGATGCAGCTTTGTGAATAAGCTAGAAATAAGTGCATGCAATGAATTTAGCTAGCTGAAAAAGAAAAGGATTCTGTTCCATTTCTTTTGACTTACCAAAATTCATACATTTCTTCATAACAGGAATGGAAAAGACATGCGATTTTAACATACTGTACTCAAAAGATCACTGCTCTGATGTTTATGTGTGACTAAAACAGAATGAGGAATAGCTCTGTTTCAAGAATTGACTCACTCCTCATATCCTTGGGGGTAAGGGTAAGCTGGGGAGTGGTAAGTCTGCATCATCCAAACTTTTTATATATACTCCGACTGCATAAGCTAGTAAGTATATCTATAAAAGCAAAGGATGGTACTCTCACTGACTTTTCTAAATCATAAGGTCTGGCATTTCAAATTCATTGGTTTTTAATCTACAAAATTTAAGACTGCCACACAAGATGTTCTAGGCCTTTAACATTTAACATTTAATATTGAGTAGATGCAGAGGTAGCAAGGGGTAGCCAAGCATGCCTTCTTTGCCATTGTCACAGAATATGGCAGTAAATCAGGGCTTATCTGAGTTTTATCATCCCCACTGTGAGCTTTCATTAATTGTATTTAGCCATTAATCCTCATTTTTCCTGGTCTTCAGCTCAAAATATCATGAAAATTACTTATTTCCGCACAGTAGTCTTCAACTTACAACCACAACTGAGCCCAAAATTTATATAGTTAAGTGAGAAATTTGTTAGGTGACTTTTCCCCATTTTATGACACTTCTTGCCACATTTGTTAAGTGAATCACTGCAGTTGTTAAGTTAGTGACACGGTTGTTAAGTGAATCTGGCTTCCCCAGTGCTAGTCAGAAGATCTCAAAAGGAGATCTCAAAAGGAGATCACATGACCCCAAGACACTGCAACTGTCAGAAATGTGGATCAATTGTCAAACATTCAAATGTACATCACATGACCATGGGGAACGATCACAAGTGTGAAAAATGGTCAAAAGTTACTTTTTTCAGTTGCCACTATAACTTAAAACAGTCACTAAGCGAACTGTTGTAAGTCGAAGACTATCTGCAGTGTCCTAGACTTGGCTTCTGTGTGTTTTTAGATATGGAATATTATGGGCTGAATGATGTATTTCCTATGAATAAGAGCAGAAAAACTCGGCTTAAACAAATTCAAAATGCAAATGCAGCATCTGCTAGTTTTCCCATATTCTAGATAGCATTTATGCTATTATCTTCAGTACTGATTGCTGAGCTAGATGATTAGGTGCCAGTTCTACTAAACAATAAATTGTATTTTAGACTTCTAAACCGAAGAATTAAAATTGTCATCTGATGGATGTACTTACTGGACGGAGATTTTTTCATCAGCATCAGCAATGAACATACTGCCCACCTATGGAAAAAAAGCAGTATTGCACAGCTTTAGGATATATCAAAGTCTTCCACTAATCTATCTGGTCCAGGGCTAAAACTGATAAGAGAAGCCTTGTATTTTATATAGTCAGAATTTAAGCTCATTATAACATCTACAGAAATATTTTACATCTCCTCCTGCAAATCTCTTGGACCGGGCTCCTTGCGTGACAAGCATTGACCGGGACAACACAGAGTCACTGATTTCTTACCATGTTAGTCAAGGCTGAGAAAAAACCACTCTGATGTTCTTCTTCTTTGTCTCTGAACTGTCTGAACAAGAATAGCAGTGGGGAATAAAACAATAGAAGTTGCCATCAGCATCATTACAGAATAAGAAAAATCTTTACTTTTAATTATGACATAAACATTTTTTTAAAAAATACAGGTCCTCTAAATATTGTCTGGATTTATTTTAAAGGAAAGAAATAGCATTAGATACCAATGATAAATACAAAATTTACCTTCCTAACAAACTTGATAATGAAAGATATCTAAGAACATGGTTTATAAAAGCTTTCTGAATTAAATGTTCCATCTATCCCAATGCTGCCTATTATACAAATATGCTTCGAGTTCTTTGTTTATATTGATTTGTCTTCTTTTTCTCATAACCTTTTTCTATTTCTCAGCAGGACTGGTCCACAAGCAACAAATTTCAAGGATACAATTGGAAATTTTCCATGTAAACTAGCGGCCTTATAGCCCCCTCTCAGGTATTTTTTAAAAAATCTAAGCTTGCTTTCTTTTCTTTCTTGTGCGCTCTTTTTTTCTCACTACTGAGACCCCAAGCCAAATGGAGTTGCAATTTGCAAAAACTGCATTTAAATTTTTGGGCAGTTCTCTTACAATAGTGAATTATTGCTAGCATCGTGATAAAAAGGCACAGGATGTCATTGTATATCAGCCTAAAGAAAGTCCTGTAACCTTCAAAAAAGTAAGAACTAAATGATATACTGGGGATCAAAAACTGCAAATAAACCTGTTCTGTGAAGCCTAGCCTGTGTGTAAAAAAGAAATGCCATAAATAAGCATTTCAAAAATCCATTTATTTCACAACTTTGCTCATACAAATTGCCAGTAGGAATATGAATACATTTTCTCAGGAAAATATTCATTTAATCCACAAACATTATTTAATGTTACTTACCGGTTGTATTCTGATAATGCCTGGGCAACTACAAGACCCATTCCCTGCAAGAAGAGAAAAGAGAAATGTCCATATAAATTAGGGCAAAAGTGCGACTTTCTGTTCCCAGAATTTTTTAGATCATTCACAGTATCACTTTAAACACTTGTTAGTTAACTAAAGGCCTCATTTTATGCAAGATTCTGACTATTCTCCAAGTAAGTTGTATACAATTATGCTCTCCAAGAAGCCTCCTTCCAACTGGACTCGGTCTGGTTTATTGACTAGATTATAAGAGTACATCTATGAAAATAATCACTAAGTCAACAATTTTTATTAAGTTCCCTAAGTCAGGGGTCGCCAAGCTTTTGGACCTCAGGGTCCACCAACCTCATAATTTTAGATCCCAGGGACCACTAACTGGTTCTGTGGGTGTGGCCTAATTTGTGGGTGTGGCTTGGTGGTCATGTGACTGGCTGGGCATGGCTTGTATGTAAATATTATAAATATTTATATAAATATTGAATTTTTTATAAAAAAGAGCAACTTTTACCCAAAAGCAGGCAAAGCAGGCAGGCAGATTGAGTTGCTCACAGAATCACAGATTCATTCAGAAATCTATCTATCTGCCATTGGCTAGCTCAGTCTGTCACATAAAACTTGCTTGCAAGCAAACTCATAAAATTTGCTAGCAAGCAAATTCACAAAATTAACTCACAACACACCATGTATGTAAGTATTGAATTTTTTATTTAAAAAAATGTAATATGTAGCATGCATATTTACTGTAATATTATTCAGAAGAAGGTAAAGCACCTTTGAGCATCCTTTTTAATTCACTTTTCATTTCTCACTTTATCACTAACTTTCTATCACACAAAATTTATAACATCATACTCACATTGAGTGTAGCTTCATCATCTATAATAGACAGTTTTACTATATAAGGATTCACAGACTATAAGAGGGAAAAGAAAGTCATAGGCTAATTTAATTATCAGCAAAGGTAACATAATTTCATTCAAACCTTGCTCATTTTTTCATCGCAGTAAATTCATACAATTTCTATTAAAATGGTAGTTTTCTAGTTTTCTGCATGTAACTCAAGATTTCACCCTTGGTAAAATTGTTTGAAAGAAAAATTATTGCAACATTTCTATCACATGTATGTTTTGTAGTCACTGGATGTTAAGACCACAGGCAGAGTTTCAAGAAAGAAAAGATGCCTGGCATGCAAAATATCTCAATCTTGGTCCCTGCCCGAATTCTCCTAAAAAGCAGCACAGTAAATTAACTGTTAATTTTTTAATATAGTCTTACGCCTTATATTCAAAACTACACTGAACTATGGAAGGAGCTGGATAGAACAACATAAAGCCTAGCAAGAAAACCTAGATTGCAGGATGACACCTGAAAACTAGGTAAGGAATTAACATACATATGAAATTCTGCATTCAAGTACTGAAATTAAATAGTTTTCGCATTGAGTTAATATTTTATACTTGCATGATGAAGAAGAAAAAACTATTGTGGATAAGATAAACGGGTGGAACTGTGAGAGATCTCTTTAACGTCACAAATATATTAATCTATTATATCTATTTGTCTTAGATGTAACTTAAACTGAACTCTGTAGGGCTGATTTCTGAGTACATATATCTAAAACTACACTAATTTAAACTTGATAGCAGCCTCCTTCCTTTGGTTATTGTAGGGAAGCTGTTCTAAATAAATTTTCCTATACAATTTTCTTAAAGCTAAATGATGCACCAAAGCATGGGCTAGTAATGTCTGAAAGCATAAGTTCATATTCCTTAGCTTGATTTTTAGTCTTACCATTTAAGATCATTAATGCTGTGGGTCTTTAAAAAACAAACTGGTTCATGTAAACTTTCCAGTACATTAGTAGTTTAACGTAATAACAGCCATTTCTTAGTTTATGACTAATTATTGCACTGAATTAGTATTTCAGAAGCCTGATGTTCACAACTGAATATCAAAGACTTCTGAGCCAAAAAATGTGAAATCAATAATAACAAGGAATGCCCATCACCTATGAAGTTGTCACTTTAGGTCAATAAAGTCCAATAGTTACAAAGACGGCCCTTGGTGGTAGCAGCAAAGATCTCAGTCTGATAATAAACTGAAATTCTGTACTAGTTTGGGCAATTTCTATAAATCAATAATAAACACTAGAACAATTGTTTCATTAAATATAGAACATGTTTAAAACTTCATAGAAAATAAATCACTAACGTCATAAAAATAAATCATATTCAATGAAATTACTTTTTTTAACCTAATAGAACAACTTAACCACCTTCAAGATTCTGGAGAAAACAATATGATTAGTAAAAGTAGCAACCAAATTAAGAGGATCCAAGAAAGCAAATAAAAATGCATACACACATAGTTACAAATATGAGCAAAAAGGAAAGTTTTTCATTGTTGCAAATAGGATGCATATAACAATAACAAAATTCTAGATCTTATAAGAATGTTTCCCATGCCTGATCAGAAGAAAGAAACATCTATTTTTTTAGAAAAATAGCATTATATATAGTATCTGAAAATTATTCCAACTTCAATGCAAAGCAAAAATAAATACTTAGAAAAAGGTAAACCTTATACAACGGATTTCAAAAGATTTTTTTCTATCAAATAAGAGTTATTAAAGATGCCAAATTTTCTAAAAGTACAATAATATTTTTATGCTTATTTCCCTTTTATGCATTTTGTGCTGACTAGAGATAGCATTACTATCCCAAAGGAACCACAGAAATTAAAGATGTTTGATAGACTTTGCTTCTCCAGGGGGAAAAATGTAGATTTCAGCAACTTTTAAAAACAATGAAATTCATATTCTAGAAATTCTTCAAAAGCTGAATATTTTCAAAATATTATGTGCCACTTGCAAACTAGAGAGAAGGGGGAGAGAATAGTTTAAGAATAACAGAATGAGAAAGGAAATTTATATCTACTTAATAAAATACTTATTTCATAAAACAGCTTCATATGTTTTATTTAATCCTATGTTGCTCACGTTCAACATTCAAAATGGTTTTATAAAAATGCATGTAGTACGATAACCTCATATGAACAAACATAACAGCCAAACCAAACCAAGTCACATAAATCAAAATAAATGAAAGTCAGCTTAGTATCCCCAGTCATCTATCAAATGCAAGCTGAAAAAGAAGTATTTGCTGCTAATAGGTTGGGGGCTTTAAGCTTGTTGTTGTTGTTGCAGTATGTTGTTCCACATAGTGGTGGGGCTCCCCTCAGGACCCTATCTTTTTAATTTCTCCATCTACTCTCTGTCAAAATACAGAGAAAACCCTATCTATTTCACTGAAAGATTACTTTATAAATCCACAGAGATTAAGTCATGTAGAACTTTCTAGATTAAAACCATCACTTTGTGTTGGAAACAAATATGGTAACCAACGCACTAGAGTTATACTGCTACACCTGTTTGTTTCATTGGCACGAGTATTTCATTTTAACCAACTACAGTTTGAACGCTATTTTCAAAGGTTGTCCTATACAACGTATGCTGCATCAGCATAAAATATTTTTGAAATGTATAGAAAATATAGTAGAAGCATATCTCGTATTTTTAACATGATAGCACAGTCCTTTGTTATTAAACACCAGGATATAGATCCTCAGTTCTCTTTGGGACTATATTTTATCACCATCAACTGAATGAAGCAATCTACACTGTAACTTTTATGATTGTTCATACTTATGAAACTTAACACAATAACTGGAATGATCCTTCCCTCCAGTTATGTTTTGCTATACAATGTTGTTACTGTAGTTCTGAAACACACCCAAAGCAAGCAAAAAGGAATCCCAACAAGTAAAGAGACAAGTCTGCAGTAACAACATATTTTTAAGAAATAAGGAAATTTAATGACCTCCAATCCAGTGACAACTCCAATCTGGAAAAAAGAGCTTGGGCTATTTTTCACACTGAGCTTCAAAGAAATTTAGAATGCCTCTATTAGACAAAACTATTGCTGGAAACAATCCTCATGTGAACATTTACCGCCAAGGAACAATGTGATACCAAGGACAAGAGTCCTTTCCATTGAGGGAAAGACAGAATATTTGTCCACATTTTGGGGGTTTTTATAGGTGTACCAGATTAATCCTGTGTCAAGCACTCACCTCATACTTTCTGTAGTTCACTAATAATGCAAGCAGCACCACAGCCTCATAACCATGTTCCCTGCGACTGGGAGGATTGGAAAGGATCTAAAAATAAGACAAGCAAAGCTTTGATTAATCAAAACCATGTATTTCAAGGAGTCACGGATGGGAGATTACAAAAACATGTAGCGTGATGAGCTGAAAATTTCCTATATCCAAAATGAATTTTGTAAGCTTAGAGTAGGACTAAATTATCTTCTTTCATGTAGAAATTGCAAACTGAAATGAAATTCTTGCCTGAGAAATAATGAGCATTTTTAAAGGAAATAAACAAAGGGCATAGGCCTAGATGTCCCATCTAATTCTTGGAAATTAGATTCAATATCCTGTGTCATTCCTCTTGCACAAAACTACTAAATTACCTAGATGAAGAAAACCTACCAAGATGAAAATTGCTTTTACTGCATTGCTTTCATTTATCCCACATTTGCATTTAAGCAACATGAAGGTAACAAGTGTGCAGTTGCCAGCACACAGCAACAAGTGTGCTGGCAACCAGGTCTTCATATTCTACAAGGTCAGGGTCAATGGAAACATAGCCACATAGTCATAAAAATTAAAGAAGAAGAAAAGCCTTGTCCTTCTCACTCCTAAGAATCCTATTTCCTACTATGCCTCCCCAGATAAAAGCAGAACAAAGCAGCCAAAAACACATGTAGTGTATCGGTTACTCACAATGTATGGGAATGCTTTATCACAGATTAGCAGCCCAGAGATAAGACAGAATAAGGAGATTTACCTGTAAGATCGCTTCAAAAATACTATTAATCATCACATACTCCAGAATTGTGTTCTGACTGATATTATCTGTCACCTGAGTAGAATCAAAGAAATGGGGATTTTTAGAGTTTTCCAGTTCCAAAATAATTCAAACACACTCTTATCACTTGATAGCAATAAATCTGTGCATGTTAAGATCCAACAGTTTGAAAAAAAAGGTCTCTTAACTGTATCTTTTATTAAACTCTCCTACAAAGAGATTTAAATTGTATTTCATACATAGATATTGTTATCCCAAAATTATGGATTTTAGGTACATTATACACCATACAGATAAACATGTCGTATAATAGAAGGCTTACTTTGCCTTCATGGTACAATTTACCTTAATGATTTGTTTCAGGCTTTAGTCTTATGAATGTTTTCTAAATAGCAAACTCTGAAACATTTCTTTGGTAAGATCAATACTTAATATTGGAAATAAAGCCAGCAGAGTTCCTGTATACAGAGGTCTCCAAACTTGGCAACTTTAAGACTTGTGGACTTCAGCTCCCAGAATTCTCCAGCCAGCTATGCTGGGAGTTGACCCTCCCAGAATTCTGGGACTTGAAGTCCACAAGTCTTAAAGTTGCCAAGTTTGGGGATCCCGCTGTATACTATTGAACAATGAATAAAGGAAATGCTAAAGGTTATTAAATTGAGCTGCAACCACACTGATGCTGTCTAATACCAATGAAGTTGAACTTCCTATATTCCATCAGTTTTAGTTCACTTTAGTTACCACCCACTTCTTTTTCTTCAAAATTCATAATTTTCATTTCCTTTTTTTCTGTTTGGTTTGGATGACCAAAATCGGGTGTTCAGTTCATATTGTATGCATAAATACATTAAAGCAGGGTCAATATATGGAAGCACATTCATAATTAAAGCAAAAAAGGGACTTTCTCGTGAATATATCTAATTCCATAATTTGATCAAAAAAATCTTAATTTAGAAGGCTGTAATATATGTGCCCCAAGTCACTAAAAATGGGACAGATGCAAGTTAAATGTATTATTTTATTTATTGGTAAAACATTTATACTGATTACCACAGTATCTCAATGGCTTAAAATAATTTAAAGATACATTTTCCATATTTTCATAATAAATACTTTTGTATAGTTAACCAATCATTCTATATTACTTACAGTTACCAAACAAAGCAAAAGTTTCAGGCACAAACTTTTGAGACTTTCAGAGCCTTCTGCACAAAGTAATGCATCCAAACTCTCCATCAGATTCTAGAAAATAAAATAGTTATTATAATTTGTTGCAAGCTCAAGGGTTTTTTTAACCTCCATTACTGCTGTGCTTCTATGATGTACTGAATCCCTTTTTGTGGGATTTCATGTACAGTATTTTATGCAAGAGATGGTAAATTTCTAAGTCAAGCTGATTAACTAATGTACTACTTCTTTCATTCTTTAGTGTTTAAAGAACCTAACTATACGCTATTCTGTGGTCCTAATATAACATTAAAGAAGCTACTTATTATCACGGTGTAATTTTCTGTTATTTTCTTGACAAACAGTCCGAATACATTTTGTCAGGATCTAGACTAGGAGCTATCAGGAAGTTAGGAAAAGAAAGACATATGTTATTCTATGCACAAGCTACATGTCTATTTTTGAGTACCGCACACCACAATTTAAATTAAGGATGAGGAAAATCTAGCCTGCAAATCAAATAAAGCCAAATTTCTCCTCCAAGTGGGACTGTTTTTCTCTCCCTTGGGGCTGATAAACTTTAGTCTCTGAGGACTGGGAGATAGAAAAAAACCTTCTGAGCTCTGGGTGATAGGAAAAAGGACTCTTTTCTTTCTGTGCAGGAGCATACCAGAAACAATGCTTCCTTCCATCCCACTCCTGCTTCTGCAGTGGGAGAAATGTAGCACTGAACAGTGGAGAAAGAACAGCCTCAGGCCACAATGGGCTTTTCAAGATGAATGGGGTTCTCCCTCCCCAAAATCCATGCCTTCCTAATTCACAAGTCAGTGTAACATACGTGTTATCAGAATGAAAAGAAAATATGTTATTTCAATATAGCAAGCTCTCACCTTCATGCACAATTCAGCTTTGTCAAAGCCCATTAGCATATTGATGATGTCAAAGCCAGATGTGGATTTATTCTTCTGATGAACCCCGCGGATCAGTGCACAGAGTGTCTGCAGCAGAAAACACAAACTCCTGCATGCAGGAATTGTGAGACAAATCTTCTGGGCAGTGAAAACTGCCATCATCAATGCAGAAATTTAAATTTATTCTATTTGGGTTTTTAAAAATATGATACCCTAGATAGCTCAGAGTGAATTTCAATGCCATAAATTCAATCAGAAACATTCATTTGTACTTTCTCTTTTCCACCAACAAGCAAATAAAAAAAAACAGACTTTCAAAAGCAGACAGGAAATATCTCACGAAGGGAAACTGACATCAGCAGAATTTCACTGGCTTCACCTATAGTTTCTTTCTGATATTCTATCAAAGTTTATAATGTGTCAAGGTCTCCTGAATCATCTAACAATAAAAAAGGAAAAGATGTTATCATTGCCTAAGATAAGTAATTAAACAGGGATTCTGCATACTGAACCAACTGATATTGTAGTGATCTCAATAATGCAGACTAATTCCTTCATTAGCACTAACATAAATGATTGTTGTCAGTTCATAAATTTGACTTAATGAAAGCCAAGGAAAATTCATAGCACCTGCAATGCGTTGACCACTCTGATTGGATGCTCTTCTCCTAACGCCCAGATGCAACGCTGGAACAAGCAATTAATGTTATCTTTTATCTTCACTAGCTCTTCACCATCCAGAGATTCCAGCTTTCCTTCCAGGTATTCCAAATTCACCTGACAGGCAAGAGGTAGAGTTTAAGTTGATGGTGGAATTACTGAAGGCAAGAAAAAGTAGAAATTGATATTTGTAAGAATAAATAAACCATTTCAACCTTTACTATATTACCTTCATGAGGAAGAGCTCCTCCCAAAACCGAGGGTTGTATTTACTGGGATCTTCTGTCTGAAAGGAAATGAGATCACTATTATAGTGACAGCTATAACCTGAAGATAGCAAGCTTAGTTTTACATTATATTGTTAACGGTCTGCCCATGAAAGTAAAAGCATGCCAAGACGTTTAATTAAGGAACATTAGTCTTCCTTATCATTCATACTACAAGATGTTATAATACTATAATATCAAACTCTGTTATGATGAAAGAAAAATAAATCCAATGCTTACTGTGAAGATCTCATCATACATTAACACAACCTTCTCTTTCAGGGGTTTCTTACTAGATGAAGATTTTCTAAGTAATCCACCTTTTTTCTCAGATTGTGCCATGGCTTACAACCTGTGGATTGAAAGAAATGGTAGACATCAGACAAATCGATCCTAGGAAAATTTCCACAACATTTACATCTTTCTAATTTCTCCTTTTTCTCTCTCTCTCAATTTCTCAGAAGCAACCCATACTGTGAGGGGTCTTTGGTACTTTCTGAGCTTTGTTGTTTTCTTGCAGATGTTTCATTACCCAAACGAAGTAAGATCAGCAGTGGTAGTGCTAGCGTTAGCTAATGATAGTTACTGAAGCTAGCTAGTATCACTAGGATGAATGATGTTAGTTTGGGTAATGAAAGTCTGCCAGAAAACAACCAAACTCAAAAAGCTCCAAGGTCCCTCATTTCAACCCTGAGTTACAAATATTCTCCTTCCATACTATAGTTACTATATAATAGAGTAACAACAACTATCATAACAATCAGTTTGGTGCAGTGGTTAATGCATCAGGCTAGAAACTGGGAAGTCATGAGTTCTACTTTCACCTTAAACGCAAAGCCAGCTGGATGGCCTTGAGCTAGTCACTTTTTCTGAGGAAGGAGGGAAACCACAAAGCATTTCTGAAAAACCTTTCCAAGAAACTGGCAGAGACTCGGCCAGGCAATCTCCAAGAACTGGACAATATTAAACAGGAGGAAAAAAGGAAGTATGATAGATCTTATTCTTAGCCTACTTCAGATGTAGGTTTCCTACCTGGAGTGCAAGGTGCACAAAAGCTTACTAAAATACATTATGTTTTACAAACTCAAAAAGGTAGACATAGAATACTTAATGTTGACACTTGTTATACAGCGTAGGAGTTATTTCGCTTGTAATAAAGAATCACGAGGAAGTGTGTACATCTTTTCCTCCAGCAAACAAGTTTGTGTGAAGCATGTGGATGACTTAAAAGAAAATTGAATGAAGGCTCAACTACTCACCCATATAGGTTAGAGAACAACTATAGCTCATTTAAGTATACATTTTATTTTATATTTCACAAATGAAATTGTGAAATGTACATTATAGTAGTCTGTAAATAAGGCTAAGTCCTAGTGAGTTAATTACTCATCGTGCTAAGTAAAAAAACAGCTATTTTATCTTGCTTTATTTAACTGGGTTTATATGCTGCTCAAATCAATAACACCGGTAAGGAGCCACCATGCTTAAAGAAGGTTAGAACTACAGAGTAACAATTGCAATTATAACTGTGTGACACACCAAGGAGCAATAAAATGCTATTAAATAGACACCTCATTGGAAAAGGGAAGAGCCTCAGAGCAGCCACATCTGTCCTTAAGAAAAAGCCAAGCTTAATGCCTTTCCCAAATCACAGCAGATAGAGGTCATTTGGATGGCAGGGGACCTGCTGTTTCAAAAAAACAGAGAGTGATCGAAGGTCTGCCACCTGGGTTTCTGGTGATAACATTCTTTGAAAAGGGGGCCTTAGGGAGCCCACCTTTCCTAAGCTTATGTAGATGGGCATATATAACTAGAAGATGGCAGCCCCAAAGGTACCAAGTCCTGTAGGACTTCAAAGGTGACCTAAAACATATTTAATTCCACAGAAGCTAGCTAGTAACCCATGCAGCTCCTGAAAATGGTTCTATGGATAAACTGAAACAAATCCATAACTATTCAAACTGTTACATTCCAGGGTAGATATATGTCCAACCTACAAGGAAAATTAATTTAATCCACATTTGGGTAGATCATAGTACTCTTTTTTCCATATCAGCTCTCCAATTTCTAAGATTTAGTAGGTTTTTTCTTTTATTTTTCTGTGGCAGTGACCTAATAAGGTAGAATAAGTAGAAAGTCTATTCTAACTGGTCATAACCAAACTGTAGAATTGTCCTTCCAATGAAATTCGGATAGTCCTTCTTTTGCAATCTTGTACTAATCAATGAATAATTTTTAAACATTTTATTTACCTAATAAATGTTTTTTACCATAAAAATATTTCATATATTGTTTTAGCATTATTTTATGGTTGTAAATATTCTATAGAGTTCTTAGTAATGCACATGCATTTGAAAAGCTGTTCTCTATAAATAAAACTTTGTATTGTATCTTCATTTCAACTCTAGCACATGTAAATTATTGCACTTAAGCCAGCACATACAGGTGAAACTCAAAAAATTAGAATATTGTGCAAAAGTTCATTTATTTCAGTAATGCAACTTAAAAGGTGAACCTAATATATGAGATAGACTCATTACATGCAAAGCAAGATAGTTCAAGCCATGATTTGTCACAATTGTGATGATGATGGCTTACAGCTCATGAAAACCCCAAATCCACAATCTCAGAAAATTAGAATATTACATGCAGTCAATAAAACAAGGATTGTACGTAGAATAATATTGGACCTCTGAAAAGTATAAGCATGCATATGTACTCAGTACTTGGTTTGGGCCCCTTTTACAGCAATTACGGCCTCAATGCGGCGTGGCATGGAAGCTATCAGCCTGTGGCACTGCTGAGGTGTTATGAAAGACCAGGATGCTTCAATAGCAGCCTTCAGCTTTTCTGCATTGTCTGGTCTCATGTCTCTCATCTTTCTCTTGGCAATGCCCCATAGATTCTCTATGGGGTTCAGGTCAGGCGAGTTTGCTGGCCAATCAAGCACAGTAATCCCACGGTCATTGAACCAGGCTTTGGTGCTTTTGGCAGTGTGGGCAGGTGCCAAGTCCTGCTGGAAAATGAAGTCAGCATCCCCATAAAGCTCATCTGCAGAAGGAAGGATGAAGTGCTCCAAAATCTCCTGGCAGACGGCTGCGTTGACCCGGGACTTAATGAAGTACAGTGGACCAACACCAGCAGATGACATGGCTCCCCAAATCAACACAGACTGTGGAAACTTCACACTGGAGCATCTTGCAGTGTGTGCCTCTTCATTCTTCTTCTAGACTCTGGGTCCTTGGTTTCCAAATGAGATGCAAAAGTTGCTCTCATCAGAAAAGAGGACTTCGGACCACTGAGCAAAAGACCAGTTCTGTTTTTCTTTAGCCCAGGTAAAACGCTTCTGATGTTTGTTGTTCAGGAGCGGCTTGACAAGAGGAATACGACATTTGAAGCCCATGTCCAGGATCCATCTGTGTGTGGTGGCTCTTGATGCACTGGCTCCAGCCTCAATCCACTTCTTGTGAAAGTCCCCAACATTTTTGAATGGCATTTCCTGACAATCCTCTCCAGGCTGCGGTCATCCCTGCTGCTTGTGCACCTTTTCCTTCCACACGTTTCCCTTCCACATAACTTCCTATTAATGTGCTTTGATACAGCACTTTGGGAACATCCAACTTCTTTTGCAACTACCTTTTGAGGCTTTCCCTCCTTATGGAGGGTGTCAATGATGATTTTCTGCACAACTGTCAGGTCAGCAGACCTTGATTGTGATTCCTACTGAACCAGACTGAGAGACCATTTAAAGGCTCAGGAACCCTTTGCAGGTGTTATGGGTTAATTAGCTGATTAGAGTGGGACACTTTGAGCCTAGAATATTGAACCTTTTCACAATATTCTAATTTTCTGAGATTGTGGATTTGGGGTTTTCATGAGCTGTAAGCCATAATCATCACAATTATGACACATCACGGCTTGAACTCTCTTGCTTTGCATGTAATGAGTCTATCTCATATATTAAGTTCACCTTTTAAGTTGCATTACTGAAATAAATAAACTTTTGCACAATATTCTAATTTTTCGAGTTTCACCTGTAGGTGTATCTTGGACAATGTAAAGATTCTACACATGCACAAAGCCAATTCTGTCCAGGTATGCATATTGTAATATACTATAGTTAACATGTAAAGCTTATTTGGGAACTACTCAGTGTTTCCAGTGAAAAGATGAAATGTACTTTACTGCATAGAAAATATTAAAGCAAGTGGCTCAGCATGCTCCAATTCACCCAATGCTAAAAGTGATCCTGCTTCCCTGGATCTTCTATCATACCTCCCATTCAATCACCTGTGTTAATGTAGTAGTAAAACAGAAGGGCAAGCAGTTATCTCCGGATACAGTATATATTGAACAGCCTAATTGCAAAGTATATTACAGTGCCTATAAACTTTAACAATTAATTCTGCAATTAAAGATGCAACAGTTACTTTTAAAAAAGAATAAATGGCACAATAATCCTATCTGGTAGAATTCTCAGTAGCTAACATCCATTTCAGACCATCGCCCAGCGATTTATTTTCTGCAAAACTCAGAAACAGGAGATGCAATAAAAGAGCATATTGTTGTGATATATATTGGATGACTTCAGGCAGGTCCGTCAGTTCATATACTGTCATTACTTTCTAGTTATGGCTTCTGGTAAATGCAAAATCATTTAAATCTGTATCGCCAAAAGTTATTAAGCCATTCCACTGTTTTATGAGAAATACAGTATCTTAAATCAGAAAAGTAAAAAAGAAAAAGGTTTTAGTGGGGTAAAATAGCAATAGCACTTAGACTTACATAGTGCTTCACAGTGCTTTTCTAAGTGGTTTACAGAATCAGTATATTGCCCCCAACAATGTGAGGGCAATATTTTACTGACCTTGGAAGGATGGAAAGCTAAGTCAACCATGAGCTGGTGAGAATCGAACTGCCAAACTGCTGGCAGTTGGCAGTCAGCAGAATTAGCCTGCAATACTGCATTCTAAACCCTGCGCCACCACAGCTCTTCAAAGATCTTGAAATTGGGCATAAGGTGAAATCTAGACAGGCTCTGTTCTCCCTTCACTATCAGAATCAAGTCTTTTGAATAGCAGCAGTAGCACAAAATAGGATATACCCACGCCTGACTGGATTATTTATATCATCGATAATAAAATACAGTAATATGCTTCTGGTGTGGTGCTGCCATCTTCTTTGAGTGAGTGTTGTCATCAGAGGTGGGGTTCAATTTTTTTTGCTACTGGTTCTGTGGACGTGGCTTGGTGGGCTTGGCAGGGGAAGGATACTGTAAAATCTCCAGTCAGAGGTGGTATTTGCCAGTTCTCGGAACTACTCAAAATTTCCGCTACCAGTTCTCCAGAACTGATCAGAACCTGCTGAACACCACCTCTGGTTGTCATGCCCCCTTGTGAACCTTCCCAAGTTTTCCTCCATTCAGTTTCCCAAAACCGACGCATTCCAAATGTTTTGGGACTGAAATACCCACAAGAAATAGCAAGACTTGCCCTGGTTTGGGATCGTGGACACCAGAATGAGAAAACTGCTTTTGTTAGGGTTAATGAAAGAAAATTTTCAGATCTGACTTTAAGCTACAACCTAACTATTTTAAAAGTCACAGTTTTTTTCCCCATTAAAACTACCGAAGCAAAAGCAACATAATTCCATCAGGTATTAATGGAAATGCCAATGCTGCCATATTGAGTGAAAAGGAAGGCTGTGCTAGATACTGGATTTTTGTTAGAATTAGGTTGGCACAACTGGACTAGCAATCTTATTCCTATCTTTCCTGTCCCTTCCCCTACTACTGCGCTTAAGCACTGGGAGTCTTAATGTGCGCCCAGCCCCACACTGCAGCATTGACTGGCTCACACATAGCCTATGCCAGATCTCCCAAGGTCTCCCTCTCTCCATCCCTCTCCATACTCCACTCCCTGTCCCTCAAGGCCTCTACAGGCCTTGGGTCTGCTTTCCCATCCCACTGGGTCCCACACCTTCCTCCTCACATGCACCCATTCTTGATTGGTCAGTGGCCTTTTATTCTAGATCTCCTTCAAGAAGCGCCTGCTGCCCGGTGCAGCCTTCCTACGCTGTGGAGGCCCAACGATTCTGCCCCAGAAGGAGGCACCAAGTTGCAAAGAACCGAAATAAATTGCAGCTGCTCCAAAATGGCCACTTCCCAGATGGAGTTATATGGCCTCCAGGGAGGTGAAGGGATATCTTTCTCAGTACAATCTCCAGAGACCAAGCAGAGCAGCAGGGGGAGGGGGAGATAGTCAGGGAATGTGCTGCAGCATATCTTCAGTTGGTTGTAAGCATTTGAATTTTGTTCATGCAATCGTACAGACACTGCAGCAGCTATAATGTCAAAACGTGGCCATAACTAGCGGGTTTGTGGGGGGAGAGGGTCTGTGATAACTTTAAACAGTCACTAAGCAACTGGTCATTAAGTCAAGGACTCGAGGACTACCTTTATAATTAACTGGAAGAAACTAAAAAATAATTAATATGAACAATATCTCAAAAAAGTATCTAAAAATAAGTATCTCAAAATAAATCATAAAGCCACTCCCCAGTAATAAAAAGGAGAAAGAGCAAAATCTACAACAATGAGTCTATCTACAGAAATAAGAGTACCAATTATTTTCTTCTGTGGCAAGTTATTACTGTATTAAATTAAAAAAAACCTCTCTACCACCCCGCTCTAAAAAAATCCTGTCTGGTGTACTTTTCAACAATATAAGTTCCAACTGTAACCAGCTATCTTCAGTAAAATAAGTATTTGATTCTTTGATTATCTTAGGTTACGATAAAAGTTTATGATACCATGACTCTCTATGAAGCTTCTGTTACATAAACAGGAAATACAAAGGAACACCCACATATAAAGCTGTTGTTTTCTTGTAATTCAATTTGCCTTAAGGTTTGATTTGAAAAACTCAACTCTTAAATTATCAATATTTAAAACTTAACCATCCGCCATTCTAAAGCTTCAGTAGCTCAAATTCTCAGATTTTTCCATCTGGAATTCCAACAGACTGTCCTTATTACTTCTTCAAAATAGAAAAACAGAAGTGTGTGAGTATATGTGTATGTGTATATAGAACATTAGTGAAGAGTTAATGGAAAAAGCTAGCATGATTAAGCAAAACTATGTTTGAAGAATGGTAGACATTGATAACAAGCCAACAGTGACTCACATCCAGCATACCAGTCACATACATGCAAACAAATCTTATTTATGATACTTACAAGTATTAAGAAATGGTTGCTGCTTAATACTTACAAGTATTAAGAAATAGTTCTCAATTCTTCAGAATGGCTTATAGAAAATTTTCGCATTTTACATTACCAATCCTGCAGTAAAATTGCTTTGCGTCTTTAGAATATTCTATTGACCAATTTCCATTATATTAAAATGTAGGACTTTATGTCACACTAAGTCCTGGTTTGCTTAGCCACATTTAAAAATAATAATAATAATAAGCTAAAAATACAGGCACTGTTTATAAGCCATGTGGCTTGTTTCATGAAACATACTAAATTAAAGCCATATTTTAAAACATGGTATATGAACAAGACCCCCATCAAAATAGAAAACCAAATTTCAGGCAAGTTTGCAATAAATGTAAGGAGATTCAGTAACGTTATTTTTCAAATACAATATAACTGCATTTAAATCTCTATTTATTATGAACACTGGCTGATCTTATCCTCATATTTGCAACTTTCAAAAGGGGATATTAATGATTATGTTTATGTAACATACTTCTCCTTAGTTGAACCTTGTTTTAGTCAACCATATTTCATGGATTTGTATGAACCCCATAAATCAGCCAATTGGTCTGGATTTGCTAGGCTGAAATATGGCCTAGTCCACACCCTCTTAAAAAATAAATAATGGGGGAATGGGTGATAGGAATCACAAACAGTAAATTCTATATTTTGATAAGAATATCTGGTTTCTTCTTGTGGCGCACACTTTTTCCTTGTCATTGAAGAACAAGTAAAAAGCCTTTGATTCTTCATTAAGTGACTTGTATGGTATATACACTCCATTCCAAATTATATTAGGAGACAAAAATTCTGCATTATGTTTAAAGATGTAGGAATAGAAAAAAGGAGAAAGAAGGAAAATTATTCAGAGTTCTACATATAGAAGGACCATGCAAGTATTAAAGTATTTGGACATTCCTCCAGAACATATTTCATCTTTTATAACAAGATGGGCAGTTTTTATACTTATGTATAGTTTATTTTGACGAGAATCTTGCACTCTATCAATTGTAGCACTGTAAGAAAGACATGGGCTTAGAATGAGGAGATTTCAGGTCCAAGCATTTATTTTATTACCGTATCAGAACTTAGCAGAGTCATTTTAGATTCTCAGTTATATCCAGTAAACTTTCATTTCAAGAAAAATTCAGAGGCGAAAGAATAATTTTGCTGCGGTTACTCTGAAATAATTAGGAATATGATTAACTGACTGCCCCTTACCCAGGGGTCCTACAATAAATACATCCTTACCTATAGAGCAAAAGGGGCAGAAAACTGAAAGCCCCCAAAGAGTATATTAAGGTTTATTAAGTATCCCGACATCCATGCACATGCTTGGACTTCAACTCCCATAATTTCTGATCAGTGGTCAACCTGGCTAGAGCTTATGGGATCAAGACAGCTGACAGTGTTTGGAGCACAGATTGAAGCTGGTGTCATCGATGGCACCAAACATTCCACGTATAAGACAATCAGGTTTTCCTGTTTCCGTCCCAGGAAAGTTTCTTAACAATTAAGTATACAGAAATTGAGAAAGAAAAACAGACTGCCTTCCTCGCGAACACGGCACAAGCACCCACATTTTGCTGAAATAATGCCGAGGTGCACCCCAACGCTCCCCCCCCCTTCCTCCACCCTCATTACACTTTGCGCCCTGATCCTTCTCAATCCCATCGCCTCCTCTAAGCTACCCCCGGATTTTCCCTCCCCCCTGGCTCTTCTCAGCAAGGGTGGCTGGAACACCGACCGGGGCACAAGGAAGGCCGGATTTTGAGGGTGGGGGAAAGGATATCTGTTACCTGCGTGGGGCGATGCCTGCCAAAGCGCATGCGTCGACGAGAGGTTCCTTGGCTCCACCTTCTTCAGATCACGCAGGCGCATAATTCTTGGTCGGCGCGGTTCAGCCTATGGGCGCCTCGCGAGTTCCCTTTCCTGCGAATTTCTAATGGGAGCGGGCTGCGGAGCAGAGGCTAACTTTTGGGAGATACGTTACGGGATTCTAAATGAAAAAGAGCAATTAGTCGGTAGTATCTTTAATCTTTTGGATTGCGTAGATGGAAATGCTGAGTAACCATTGCCACACTTTTTCCTTGGCATTTGAAGTAGTCTCAATGCAATGGGATTTCTTCCAGAGAAAGCAAAAAAAAAAAAAAGTTCGATTCAGCAGGACTTTATTATAGGAATTTTAAGCCACCTGGGTCTTAATTAGCTGATCGTTTATCCTGTAAGAAACGAATGGACCTTATTTCACGGATCTCACTACTGTACAGTCATGGTAAAGAGCTGGTTTTTTTAGAATAGAATTCTTTATTGGCCAAGTGTGACTGGACACACAAGGAATTTGTCTTGGTTTTCAGTGGTAGGTTTAAAAAATACATAATTCTTAACATGGTCAAATTCATTAGGAGCTGCCAAGCAGTATGTAGTCAATTAGTGGTGTACACAACATGCATTTTTGGAGTGGTGAATTGATAGCATGGGGTTTTCTGCTTGTTGTAAACTGATTTAAAGGAGTGGCCCAATTCATTTCTCAAGGCTGTGCTCTGAATTCCCCAGAGTTATTAGTAAAACTGGAGGTGGGGGAAAGTCCAAGTAAGACAAGGACTTCATTATGATAAATCGAAATATTACCGGAGAGTGAAGTTTTCATTTTCCTCAGAACTCTTCTTCAGGCCAGTGATTACAAATGCATCAAGTGGAGAGAAACTGGAGAATCCCAAAGTAGAGCCACATGCTTCAGCCAGAATGGTCAGTCACCCCAAAATAGATTGTGGCCTTAATGCATTCTCCATTGCTGGGTGTGGATATTTTATACCCAGCCATCCTTGTCCCACTTCGTTGCTTGCAGACGCCTCAACCTTTCTGTGCTGGTTTCAAACCATTCTTGGCAAAAGAAGAAGTCAGTAAACCCAGGTGCTTTGTCTGACCTTCCATTGCCTTTGTCCTCCCATTTCTCATCCTTCACTGGAGAGAAAGAGGACAAATCATGCCATAAAGCCAGCACACAATGGCAAATCAATTGTCTGCACATTCGTTAATAGTCTTTCCCAAAACATGGTAATTTCAGCAAAGCACTCTTAATAAGCGAGTTGAAGAATGCAGATGAATCCTATGCAGATAGTTCTCAACTACAACAGTTCACTTAGTAATAATTCAAAGTTACAATGACACTGAAAAGTGACTTATGGCTGTGTAGAGTTGTAATTGCAGGAATGTTCCAATCTCGGATGGCAAACCTCAGATAAAGAATGTTTCCAAGCAAATACAACTCAGGCAAATGAAGTCACTAATCTATGCATAAAGGAGGATTAGAGAGGGGAAGTAAACATATGTTAGACTTTAACTAGAGATAATTAATTGTATGGATTACTGTACTAAACAGTAACGAAAGTTAAGCGGTAACCAAAGTTAACCAGTGATGAAGGATAACTAAAAATGTATATAAATGCAAGACTATACTCCAATAAAGTTCATCATGGTTCAGTTGTTCATGATCAAACAACTTGACTGGCTCGTCATTACAACATGACTGTTTTAGCATCCCTATGGTCATGTGATTTATATTTGGATGCTTGGCAACTGACTCCCATTTATGACAGTTGCAGTGTCCTGGTGTCATGTGAACACCTTTTGCAACCTTCTGACAAACCAAGTCAATAGGGAAGCCAGATTCATTTAACAACCGTGTTACTAATTTAACAACTGTAGTGATTCATTTAACACATGTGGCAAGAACAAGTCGTGAAATGGAGCAAAATTCACTTAACAAATTTCTCACTAAGCAACACAAATTTTGGGCTCAATTGTGGTTGTAAGTTGAGGACTACCTGCATGTGCATTTTCAAAAGTAGTACAGGTAGTCCTCAACTTACAACAGTTCATTTATTGACTGTTCATAGTTATAACAACACTGGAAAATGTGACTTATGGCCATTTTTCACAGTTACGACCTTTGCAGCATCCCCATGATCAGGTGATCAAAACTCAGATGCTTGGCAACTGGTTCATATTTATGACTTTCTGTGTCCCAGGGTCATGTGATCATCTTTTGCGACTTTCTGACCAGCAAGGTCAATGGGGAAGTCAGATTCTGTGATGACCCAGGGTGTGGCACAAAGGCAACACAGTCACCTAAGCAAGAAGAGTCCCTTTAATACCTCCAACTTTGCCCCCAATGTCCAGGTTACCTTCGGCTAGAGAAAAACTCTCCTAGGAACAGTCTTTAAGTGGAGGAAATTCAGTCCGAAAACAAAGTACATACAAACCGTAAATAAAAATCCACACAAATCATGTTGCAGCAATTAACTTGACAGGGCAGGAGAAGGAATTGCAGACTTGAAAGCCCAACAAAACACACAGTTGGGAAGACGCCAGGACCCCAGATAAGCCTTGACAATATCAGATAATTCACGATTTGCTCTCAACAGTTGACTGTGTGCAACCTTCCTTTTTAAACACTGTTCCCAGCTGCAGCTAATGAAGGGAATCAGGGCCCTTTCGTCCCCCGTAAGCCACACAACTCACGTTGCTCTCTTCTCCGTTCCTTTCTTAATGCTCTAGGATGAAGCCTGGGTCTTCCTCCGAATTCCCTCTTCCTTGCTCTACTTCTCCCTTGCTCTGCCCAGCCAGACTGTGCCCTTCCCCAGTTTCTTCCACAGCCAATGGAGCCCCACTCCCACTCCCTGTCAGCTGCTTGGCCTCCCCCTTGGAATCAGATTCCGACAGGGGCATGACTGATTCACTTAACAACCAGATTGCTGTTTATCAGCTGCAGTGATTCATTTAACAACTGGCAAGAATGGTCATAAAATGGGACAAAACTAACAAATGTCTCACTTAACAGAAATTTTGGGTTCAACTGTGGTCATGAGGACTACTTGTATCTGTTTCATGAAGATGTATTTTTAAGTATGTACGGTATCAGAAGCAATTTTTGCTGTAAGCCCACTATTGATCCATGGATCAAAGTGTTTATGCATTTTATTTGCAATTCCATATACCAGGGGTCTTAAACACAATTTACCTGGGGGCCGCTGGAGGCAGAGTCTGGGTGAGGCTGGGCCGCATAATATACTTTACATTATACTTTATATTTATATTATACACTAATATTATACTTTCATATCACAGGGGGGCACAGGATATCGTCCTGTGGGCTGCAATTGACCCGTGGGCCGCGAGAATGAGACCTCTGCCATATACACTTCAAAATATGAGACTATTATGTTACTGCTACAAACTCTGAAAGCCAATTTTAAGGCGACTTCAATACTTCTGGCTTATAATGCCACCCACAACTCATTGGGCTACCAGAAAACATTGTCAACCTAAAACTTACTGCAGGGATTGAAATTTTAGTTTTAATGGATTTTTATTTGCATCTAAATATTCTGATTTGCAACATATGGTTAAAACGTATCATATAAAGATTATAAAACAGATATACCCAATTCTGCTGAACCTAATTTTTTTAAAAGTGAGGAAGCAGGGAGTAATCAACCAATGGATCAGCTTGCCTGGAGCTTCATCTTTGGAGGCTTTCAAGAAGAGACTGGACTGCCATCTCTCAGAAATGGTGTAGGGTCTCCTGCTTGGGTGGGCGGGGGTTGGACTAGATGGCCTAAGGTCCCGTCTAACTCTGTCAATCTGTTATTTGACAGGAAAAGGGCGGTACCAGTGCCAGAAGGGATTTGACAACAACTTTGAATAGACCTGTACAAGTAGTCCTCAATTTATGACAATTGAACCCAGAATTTGCAATGGTCATAAAAAACACAGAAGTCACTTTTTTCAGTGCCTTCAAACAGTCACTAAACAAACTGTTGTAAGTTGAGCACCACCTGTATGCTAAAGTAGGTCTCCTGTTAATCCAATTGTCTTGAAAAGAGGCCACAATTGAAACACATATACTGCAATTGTTATAAGGAGGAAAAATGGTTAATCTTGAATGCAATTAAAGCAGCAGTGCTTTGCTTACTTTTTTTTGGGGGGGGGGGGTGTCATTAACCAAAATTTTAAGATGCAGGTAGAAAATACAATTTTTTTCAAGAGATTCCAAAACTTGCACATAATCCAAATCTTCCTTCTTCTGGTAATTTGTTTCTGCATCAGGGATGGTATTGCTACGTAATTTTCTGACTGATTTGGAATCCGTCCCGGTCTAGATTTAATTAATCCGGGAGATTTAGTTAAAGGGAAGGTTTTTCTTTTCTTCCCCTTTTGGTCTAAATATTTTTCTCGATTTAACAATCAAGCGCCATTCAATCTTAGCACTGACAGCGAAATATACCCTCTCCTGGGCTGAACTCTTTGCCCGTATATATGTCTGTGTGTATGTGTGTGTGTATAGACAATCGGGGTTTCTCCGCCCACCGACGCCTCGTCCCTTTAACTCACAAGAGTTTCCTCCAGCTACGAAAAGGCAGCTTAATTGGAGCGGCCAGGTTTTAACCTCATCGGGCAGGGACGGAAGTCGAAGAATCGCAGGGAGTTCGGAATTGGTGCCGAAGTACCGGAGGGGAGTGCCTCCGTCCGGAAACCAAAGACCTCGTGATTGCAATAAGGACTTCGGCGCTGCTTTACTTCTGAATTGCTGGTGGATTTCCTGGAGCGCTGCTTTGCAGAAGAAGCGGCTGGAGCGAGCGAGAGCCGCGCGTTTGGCCTGTTCCGGGAGAGCCGAGGCGCCGAGAAACAGCTACGCACCGTCTGAGTGCGAGCAGCTCAAGCGGAATTCCGCGCTGGCGTGAAAAACGAGAGAAAGAGGGCAACGCAGACTCTCGGCGTATTGGAGCCCGAAAATCGTGAGAGGCAATGGGAAGAGCGGGGTTTGAAAGCTTCGGCTAAGGCGAATGGTAAAGCGAATGGTTATGAACGGCTGGAGGGAAAGGCGTGAAATTGCTTATACGCCCTTTGTGGGGGGGAAAAGCGCGTAATAAGGCAGATCCCAGGAGCGCTAGAAGCGGTGGGAAGACTTGCAAGGGCCGAATTTCTCGCTCCGCTGGAAGAAGCCGAAGTAAAATAACCCCGCGTTTGCCTCCGTGGGTCGGGGAAATTTGGCCTAGTTCAGCTCGTCGGCTTTTTCCCCGGCCGGCCCTATGTGGTGCGTAACCGCCCGGGACGTCCCGAAATGAAGGGAGCGGTGGAGCTTCGGCAGGTCTCGGACTGGAGTGACTATGTTCGAGGCCGCTGGCTGCGGGAGTTGATGGATCAGCGTCCTTCCGGGGAGCCTCCCAGCCGCGTCCTAACCAGCCCCGACAAGCATCATCTGCTGCTCCTGTGGAACCCGCCGGCCTCCCTGCCTCGACTGGTGGCTTTTCAGCGCCTGGGGCTCGATGGAGGGGACCTGGAGAAGACCTGGAAGCCGCTTCAGCCCCCTGTGGTGGAGCTGCTTTTCCTGGAAAGCCCTGGCGCTGCTGCAACTGTCTCTTGGGTGTTGGCTATCATTTGGGAGCAAGGCAGGACTGAAGTCTGGCGCTTTGTACCCACAGCTGGATGGCACTTGCTGCAGAGCCTGGAACTGTGCCACGGAGCCCGTGCTCGGATTGTCTCCATTTGCAGCTTGGGGGACCAGCTTGTGTGGTGTGAAGAGAGGCCTTCTTTTGATGCTCAACCGACTCCTGAGAGAAGAGCCTTCCAGTATTGTATTTGCGTTCGAGGCCTTCAGGTTGGAGAACAGGGAGTCCAGCTGAGCCCTCTCAGGGTTATCTTGCACAATAGCCCTGTTTACCAAGTCTTGGCCAAGCCCTCGGGAGTCTTCCTTGTCCCCACCCCAGCCACCTTCCCAAGAATAGCCAAGTTTGTCCTCATCTGGCGACCTGAAATGGCTGATATTGTTATTGCTGCGCCGCACGGCCCGTGTGTTTCCACAAAAGCCTCGCATGCAGGCAGCGATGTAGACTTCAAAAAGCTAGTGCTGAGTTATGTGGGATTCTTGGAATCCATGACAAATTTGGCTGTTCACAGCTGTGCTCTATCCAGTTGTGGAGAGCTGCTCTTGTTCATGCAAACAGGCACGATCCAGGGAGTCCAACCTAATGGCGTTTGGCGACCTGTCTTTGACTTTGCAGGAAGCATTTTGTCTTCAGGAGAGCAGGTCCAACTAAAGGTATTTGGGGACATCCTGGCTTGCTTACTGAAGGAGACTCTCTATCTTGTGGATTTGAACAGTAGAGAGCTGATAGAAAATAAAGTCCTGAGCACTGAAAGAGTACGCTTTTTGGACTCTCCTACCATAGAAGAAGAAATCCAGCTCCTTGCTCAGGATGGCATTTATACTCTTGACTTTTCAAACTCTGGTCAAGGCTGCCAGTCTGAACCCCACCTGGTGCAGGTGGTGTTTGAAGAAGCCTGCAAATACTATCAAAGACGGAGTCTCAGTAGTTCCCAACTCACTGTGGAGAAACTGAAGAAGGGGGGCATGTTTCAGGCTCCTGTCGCGCTGTCTTCCATCCTGAGCCACAGTCTTGATCCCAGAGGAAAAAAGCTCAGAGCCCTCCCAGAATCTTACACCAAGCTCCTGGGAACAATGCAGTTAGAACTGCAGAACTATCAAGATCTGGAGTTCCTCAAGTTGCACGTGGTTCAAGCTTCAGAAAGTGAGGTAAAGAGCTATGGTGAAGCACTGGTGGAGCAAGAACTTAGCCGCCTTCTGCACTTGGACTTGAACAGAGAGAACTTGGCATACCTGAATGTCATATTCACTGCCTTCCCTGGAGCTTTCTGGAAAGCTGTCCAGAACCACCTCCAGCTACAAGAGAATGGGGATGGCGTTTTGGTAGCTAGAGCCACACCAGATATATGGAAAAAAGTTCTGGGGGGAGCTGCTCCCAGCCCGACTAAGCAAGAAGAAAGCTGTCCAAATGGAGTATTCCCCTTCTTTGAACTTGTCTGTCTTTCTCTTCTCGAGTTCAAGCCTAAATGGTTGCCTCACTTTGTGGAGCTCTCCCAACAATATTTGGGTGCGTCTTGGACTTATAAAAGCAAAGAAGGCCCTGAGGGCGGTGTGCCTCTGTATAAGAGAGCCCTGGCTGTACTGTCAAGGTGTGCTAGATGTCCAGTAGCAGATGGAGAAATGGAAATTGAGCTCTTGCTCTGTAGCCAGAGGCCCAAAGCAATCCTCCAAGCCATGGACCTCCTTATCCAATATGGGAGATGGCAGCATGTGATGGAGACAGCGGAGAAATTCTCCTTGTTGAGCCCTTTGTTGAACAAAGAGATTTTTATTAATCTCCTGGGGGAATTTTCCCGGCACCGGGCCCTGGACCCCTATTTGGACAAGTTGTGGGATCTCTGCCCGGCAGATATGAATGCCGCTGATGTCCTGAGCATTATTCAGCAACACCTAGCATCAGTAGAGCTCAAACCATTTCCTTCTGCACAAGATGGGTCATCCCAACCTACCATTGCGCTGCTGAAACCACTGTTGTACAGACTGGCACAAAGTGAAACATCCCAGAATGAAATTTTTGGTAATGTCTTACAGGTCCCATCCTTTCCCCCACCAACACCACCCAGGAACCATCAGTCTCTTCCGAAAGCAGATTCCCAGGAAGTTCTAACCTTCTTTCAAAACCAAACGTAGTTTTTATTGTCTCAGGCAACATGGTATTTAAAAATGACTGTGCAAAATCACGAGTTGCAGTCTTTATATTCCAAGTTCATCCAACTAAAGTGGGAAGCAAAATCGCAGAATCATGTACTGTCGGTGACTTTGTTTGGAAGAGTGTAGAGCTTCTAGGAAGGATTGGAAACATTTTATATCTTTAAACTAGGGTAAATAAAGGCATCTCTTCCCTAACCTTTCAGATATGTTGGGATCGTAATTCTCAAAATGAGAACTCTGAATTGTACAGTATTTCTAGCACATCTGGAGGGCATCCATTGGGGACAGCTGCATATCAAAATGACACAATTGTTTCAGTAAAATTTGAAATGTTACTACTGATGTACTTCTGTCCCTTCATGAATATTATGGGATTGTTTGATATTCAGATAACATGCCAGTCTGCATTCATCAACTATATTTGTATACGAGTTTCACTGAGGAGTAGCGGTGTTCTTTTGTGCTCAGAAGTAGTCTTCCTCCAAGGCTGTTATGTGAACTAGGGGTTGATACAGTCTAAGGCAGGGGTGTCAAACTCGCTTCCTTATGGTGTCACGTGACATATTGGGACTTTTTTCCCCTGTGCTAAACTGGGCGGGGGTGGGGCTAACACGTGACGTATCTGGGCCGGGGGCTGTGAGTTTGACAACCTGGTCTAAGGCATCTGAAGAGATCAGATTGGAGAAGATTTCTCTAAACTCTTATTTCATGAGAAGAGAAAAGGTTCTTGATAATAAGTCTAAAGGTTTCATTTATCAGCCTTACGTCATCCTAATGTTTTTGAAACTCCCTAAATCAGCTACTGCTCTGAAAATCACTCAGGTGTATCACAGATTTAAGCAATATTTATCTTAAGCAGTTTTGTTTTGACTGCCTTTATCTATGCACACCTTTGTCCCCTGTACAGCCTTTATTTTTTGCTTTTTAGAGAAGTGGAAAAGTTTCACTGTAATAATTTATGCCATATTTCTTTGTACGAAAGTATAATTCTCCTAATGCTGCTTTCCATTTAGGTAAAAATAGCCCTCTTCATCCAGATGGAGAACTTTAGCCTTCCAAACATTGCAGTGCTACAATTTCTGGCATCCTCATGTCCTACATGTATAATGATAGGGTCTTTTTCTACATAGATTTAACAGAAATAGAGGAATCTTTAAATGGTCTAATCATGAATAAGTTTTTACTATGTGTAGGTAGTTGATGATACAGCATTGTTTTAATTCTTATGAAACTGATAGGATCATTTTTTTAAATCCATTTTCCCCCTGATATGATCCAAAAAAGAGGCTGTTGAATAAAAGGAAGGGCTATGCAACTTCAGTTCTGTTTTAGAGTGAGTTTAACAGCTGCTTTGCTGCCAACTTTTGATTTAAAAGGCAATGGGATACATGTGAAAACTGTTAAGAGATAATCTGAAGCCCTCACAAAATTTCTGAAATTTTTGGAATCCCAAGTAGTTTGATTAAGGCTCAGAAATGCTAGAAATTAAGGATGGTCACAGGTTCCCCACCTATTTTGGAAAGAGGCCTGTGAACGGGAAATTGGTCTACTGTTTGTTATGTTGTAATTCTGTTGCCCTGTCCTACAGCCTGGAAAGCGTTTTGAGTGTTTAGTAGGAAAAGGCTCTATGGTTACATAGGACCCTGCCCGGATATCTGAGAAACATGAATGAAAGCGAATGTATCCATTGACTAGGCTTGAGTGGCCTTCACTGCTTGGCGATCTGAGTGTAAAGCAAATATTTTTCTTTCCTGCTGTGAGCTTCTTCCCCTTTCTGGAGTAGAAGGTAGACCTGTAGGAGAACTCAAGAGCTACTCTTAAGTCTCCCTTTCGTCTGTCAGAAGCAAAGAAGGGAGGTACAGGGGATGAAATAACACAAAACATTTGGCTCATATCAAACTGGCCATCCCAAATGCACAATATCTTGTTACTTTCTATAGGTTGACATTCTTCAAAAAACTCAAGCTTCCTCATTCCAGAGTCATTTTAAAATTATTTTAAGAGTTGAAAATTACTGTAAATGCCCCTCTTGATTATAAAGAGGCAAGGTTCTTTCTACAAACTGATTCGTTGTTAGTGCTGGTCTTCAGAGGTTGGGTGTTTGTTCTCATGAAGTAGGGGTGAAAGGGTAGGCAACCTTAAGATTTGCCTGGATGCTTTGTGCCATGAGTGCCTTGGAAGATAAACAGCAGACTTTTAAGGCTATTTTTAAATGAATAACTTTTAACGAGTAAGAATAAGCATTATATACTCCCATCTGTATCTTCTATAGTATTTTTGTTAATTCAATCGTGAGTCTTTTGTTAATGGGGATGAATACTAGTAGATAATTTAGTCTGACCTGGAAGAATGTCAGCTAAGAAAACAAATCATGTTTGGGAAGAAAAATTAAAGCAAGCAAACTGCCAGCAGTGTTTCTTTGTCTATTGAGCCATAGCATAAGAGTTGTGGCCTTAACTTCCCAGGTTCTATAAAACTGGGAATATCTCTGCCTTTAGATTATCTAACTGGAATGTTCAGGGAAGAGTAGATTAAGGGTTCATTCAAATATTAAGAGATAATCGATTTGAAATTAGCTTTCATAATATGGGAGGGGAGTTGGAAAGAAGTGCAAAACATCAAGAGGACAGGTAATTGATGTGTACGCCTACAGTTATTAATCTGATGGAGCAGCTATTATGGTGAATGTTCTGGCCTGATCAGCCATTGAATTTTGAGGCAGGTATTCCTGTTGAATAAGTATTTGTCACACCATTGCAAAAATACACCAAAATTATATTCAATACAATTTGAAATTATAGTTTCTTTTATTAATTAAAAATATTTTGAGTTCAACGAAACATAGCTTCCTGACCATCTTGGATTTCTTTCTTATACTGTAGCAAGACAGGGGCAACCAGCTAGTTTTCAAGCAAGGTCCAAAACTGGTTTCATGATGATTTGTTCTTGATTTATATTAATATTTAACGTTGCAATTCCAGTAGCAGCAAGGTGGCATGTTTTGCGGGCCTCGTACTTGGGGAACAACAATTTATAAAAGCTAAGTATCCAAGGCCTACATCAAAATCTTACAAAAATCATGAAAAATATAATTTCCTTGAATTTACAAATGAAAGACAAACAATATTACCAGTAAAAATAATTATATTCATTCAAATGAGAAGCAAAAAGCACGTATACAGATTCAAGTATCTTTCTTGGTAAAGCAATTAGGGAAGTGAGGGGGAGTGGTGTCATTATTTTCACTCTAGTCTTTTTCAGTCCTGCTCCTTCATAGAATCAAATAACATGTATAATAGAAATCATGTAATCCAGGCAACTGAATCTTTATCAAACTTTGTGGAAATAAGACTTAAATAAGACAGAACAATTGCTAGGAACAATTCCTGACTTAGGCTAAGTGATAGCATAATAATCATCTTGAATTGCTTCCCATATATTGTAGGTTTTCATAAACCCCTTAGAAAGAAAAATGGAGTTGTGGATAATTTGCTAGGGGAAGGTCACTTAATGATATCCTAGCAGTGAGTGAATAAAAGTGAGAATATATACATCCTACTATGATTGCAAGTTTGTTGCTGTGAAAATTTGGAAATATGAGCCACTCCCTGACCCCTAAGAAAATGTTACATTTTATGTAAATTTACATTTTTTCTTGATTAATAAGGATTTCATTTCTTACTGTTGCCTTAAGTCACCCTTCACGCATTCTTCTAAAAGCTAATTTAGAACCAGAAGACGGAAAAATAATTTTGCTATTGCTGTTTCTGGAGCAAGAAAAATGTAGTGCAAAAAGGTGGAAAGCACATAAAAAGGTTTCTGCTACTGAGCTGAGAATCTGATTTATTATAAATCCAAATGAGTTTCTTTAAAAGTTTTATATGCAAATTGAACAATAGAAAGTCAAGTAACAAATGATTCCTACTATCCTAATATTTAATACTTTGAAGTAAAATATTTGTACTGTTACATTCAGACCAGCAATTAATTTATGTGCAGACCAGCAATTAATTTATGTGCTATACTTTGAATTAGGTCTATAACTCATTAAAAACACTACAGGTAGTCCTTAACAGCCACAATTGAGTCCAAATTTTCTGTTGCTAAGTGAGACAGGTGTTAAGTGAATTTTGCCCCATTTTATGACTTTTCTTGTTAAGTGAATCACTGCAGTTGTTAAGGTACTAACACAATTGTTAAATGAATCTGGTTTCCCCATTCATTTTGCTTGTCTGGTCACAAAAGCTAATCACATGACCCCATGATACTGCAATTGTCATAAATATGAATCAGTTGCCAAGTGTCTGAATTTTGATCATGTGACCATGGAGATACTGAATTGGTCATAAGTGTGAAAAAATAGTCATGTCACTTTTTTCAGTGCCTTTTTCTTTGTTACTTTCAATGGTCATTAAGTGAATTGTTGTAAGTTGAGGACTACCTGTATTTCCTACTACTAGTCCAGTCCTTCCCTAAACTTCAAATTTCCAATGCTGACTAGGAATTATGTCACATATCTGGAGTGTCACAGATCAGGCAAGACTAATCTGAAAGGAAATCCTCATGTTCCTCTTCCAAATGGTTATTGTATCAACTTTTCATTATTGGAGTCATCTTCATTTTGCATTTATCTAAATAAATTCATTTCTATTACTAATGTCTTAATAAATATTACTACGTCTATTCACCTCATAAGAAAAATTCCCCCATTCTCTTGAGTATCACGTGTTTGACAAAATAAATTCATGGTTCAACATTATTGGGTATAATATTGGGGAGAGGATAAATGCCCAAAATATGCAAATCAAGTAATGTGTGGAAGGGGGAAAAAGAGCAACATACATGACTAGATTGCAATGATATACTGAAGCACAAGACAAAATCTAGAAAGTGCTCTTGATAAAATTTAAGGCAATTCGTTCTTCCTGATACAGAACTGCTCAGTAATATTTCATTATGGCACATATTTGCTTTCTCTTCCAGAGTATCAACCTTTAGGTATAGAGTAGGTATTGATCCAGCAAGGCACTATTTGCAATTCAGCTTAATTTAACAAAGATTTCTAAATCTGTTGAGGGTCAAAAGAATTACTGTAAAAATGTTCTGCTATATATTGGGGTCTGTATAGTAATTCAGTAGAATGTAGTGATATCACTATATAACCCTTTGAATATCAGGGCTTTTTCCTGTAAAATGGACAGTATAAAGACTGCAAGCTTAATCTCTAGAGTGTAACCCTCTTCATAGACTGAGCGCAGCCAAACTATACTTCTCTGTCACAGGGCTTGTGGCACAGTAGTCTCTTGTAGAGGAAAAGTGGTTGCCATCTTACAAACTTGTTCAGGAAAAAAATGTGGCAAAGATCCACACACTGCACAATGTCAAGAGAAACCCAATAATTATCTTGACCATTGTTTGTTGCGTTCATAGCTGCTCAGAGATGGAATGTTGAAAAAGGAAATGTTATTTCTTCAGCTCAGCCCGGGGCATTTTGAACATGCTTTGCCTTGACCTGTAACGGGAAAAGAAGAAATTAAGAAAATTGAACCTTGATTGAGCCACAATAAGGGTATGGATGATTTGGAAATAGGAAGCTTTAAGAGATTTTGTTGTTTGGCAGCTTTCAGTCCCTCACTGTTGGCTCATGATATAAGATAGGGCTTTAAAAATGCTCTCCACCCTGATAAAATACCACACACTACTTTTTAGCATCATCGTAAGCATTATTTGTTGGTCAGCATGTGACAAAAACTTACAGTATTTGCAATGATGGTTGTTACCCACTCTGCAGACCATTACGTTCATTTTCTTGTTCCCTGTTATACAGGGAACTGCCTACTCTATATTTGGTATTCTCTACACCCCAAATGGCTTTCACACTCCTTTAGTGGCTAATTAAATAGCTCTTCTTTAGCCTAATACTGACATTTGCTTGAACTTCAATTCTTCTTAGCAAAGATTGCTCACAGATAGAGAAAAATACTCACAGTTCAAAGTTTTCCATAATCTCATCCCTAATAGAAGAAAGGGAGGAATAGTGTCAATGACATGTATATATATGGACACAGAGAGAGAGAGAGAGACAGAGAGCATATTGCCACTTCCATATAAGAGTTCTTACATAAACTAGACTGGAAACCACAAAAATAATTAGTGATTGAACTGGACATCATCACACAGAGAGAAGCAGGGAAAAGGAAGATCTTCCAGTTACGCTATGGCAAGATCCCATTTCTGAAGCAGTTCTAAGAAATGTAGCCCCGGGAGATTGGAGGTACTTGCACAGATGGTTCTGAAGAAATTTTCAAACTAGCTCATAGACAATATAGGGGGAGGGAGTAGCATGCCCTACTACATAATTCATCCTTACTGATAGATGTCATCGACATTCATTCGACGATAAAACTTGGCAAGCCGCACCGCCAAGATGATACTTGGCAACAGAAAGATTGTGCACCAGGCCAGACAGAACCAGAAGGCATTCTAGGAGGGGAAAAGAGAAGGGATAAATTGTTGGAGGCAATGCTTTACGTCTTTCCGCACAGCTTTAGTTGGTTGAGACAGCCAAGAGAAATATCTCTAATGATGGACATATCTTCACACAGTAGGTATTTGCATCTTCTGGTCTTACTATGCATTAGAGCAGGGGTGGGCAAACTACGGCCCGTGGGCCACATCCGGCCCATTGGTCTTTTTAATCCGGCCCGCCGAAGATTGGTACAGAATTATGGTTTGATGTGAATGATTGAATGATTGCATTCATTTGATTTTGACTTGTAATGACAGGCATTTTGACACCAGGTGGCGGCCCGTCTGTCAAATTTTAAAAGTCAATGAGGCCCCCGAGCCAAAAAGTTTGCCCACCCCTGCATTAGAGCCTTCTTTATGGACCTCCCCTCTCACTCCCGTTTCTGTTCAGAAGCATGTACACTTCCAATTTCTCCCTACAGTTTTTCTCAAAATTAAGACATGGGTTGTTACAGCAAACTGATGCCCAAGACAATTATAATGATATGCTCTTTTTACAATTTAGTGTTACATTCTGTTGTAACTACCATCTCTTGCCTTAATTCCATGTTGATATGATTAGCAATCCTACATCTCAATTAATGTTCTGATTAGTCCTACTGATTTTCTCACCAAAGAATCAACAAGGTAATTGCAGACAACGGTATTCATGCTATCCAGTGCCCAGGCTACAGGACCACAGCGACCAAATTCTCGTATGATCTGCCAACAAAATTTAAAAGCAAAACAAAACATTTCATTAGATGTTTCATCAGAGAAAACCAAGCTCTGGTCTTCTAGACAATAATTTTCTTTATTTGACCACCATATGTTTTGAAATCTACAATAACTTATTTTCCAACCCAGAAGGAAAAGTTCAATCCCTCAATAATTATATTCTGCATTTTCATTGCTGCCTGATACAATATACTATGCTTAAACCCAGATTAAGAAAGCATAATTACTATATTGAAACAAAAAGATAAGTTTTGTCTGGGTCACCAAACAATTCTACTGATCTTCATACAACATACCAAGGGAATTGAAAGGTTCTTGGCTTAAAAAATAGTCATGCCTCTTGAGTCTACATGTTATTCGGTAAGGGTTTGACCAAGGACAGATAACTACATTGTGTTGGACAGATAAAAGTGTAACCCAGCCAGTCCATCCTTATTCCATTAGAAATGATTGATAATACTTACAAAATGCTTAACCCATGTCACATAGGAGGAAAAATAATTCACTGTGTTCAATATAAAAGTCTTGGTCTCCTAGATGGAAGTAGAGAAAAGGATGGGTTCAAACCCAAGAAATGATTTGGTTTTGGGTGTAAATATTCTATATAAACTGCACTGCAGATCCATGAGTTTTGGAGCATAAATATAGCAATAGCACTTAGACTTATATACCACTCCATAGTGTTTTACAGACCTAAGAGATTTACAGAGTCAGCATATTGACCCCCAACAATCTGGGTCCCCATTTTATTGACCTTGGAAGGATGGAGTCAACCTTGAGTTGGTGAGAATCGAACTCCTGCAATGAGCAGTGAATTAGCCTGCAGTACTGCATTCTAACCACTGCACCACCATGGCTCTATCCTATATAAATTGCATTGCACTTCATGAATGGAAATGAAGCTCTAAAAGACGTGGGGGAGGGGGAAGAGAAGGAGAGAGCGAGCAGAGCTCTTTCGTGCAAGATCTGCTAGCAATAATAAGGCTCTCGATGCTTAAATTACTTCTTTAAATTTCCCGCAAGCATAAGAAGCATGACCATACTACTACAGGTAGTCCTGGACTTATGACTATTTGTTTAATGATTGTAGAAAAAGTGCCTTGTGACCAGTTTTCAAAGCTAAGACCACCATACCACTCCTATGGACACAGGAATGCAAGTGGCTCCCATTTATAACTGGTTGCAGTAACTTGTGGTCATGTGATTAAGACTGCCCAGCCATCTTCCTATAAGCAAAGTCAATTGGGGAAGCCAGATTCACTTAAAGATTGTGTGATTTACTTAATGATATGAACTGCTTAATGACTGCAGTAACCATGGTCATAAAATTGTGATCCAATCACGTGATGGCTTCCTTAATGACAGTATCGTTTATCAACCAACATTCTGGCCCCAACTGTGTCATAAGTCAAAAACTACTGATATTCATGAAAGTAGCACAATGTTGTTCAGAGTGTGAATTAGCCTAAGGTATCTACCTAGTGGCTTAATGAGTGGATTCCTTAAAGTAGCAGCATTTTCCCTCAGATCACTTAATGAACAACAGTACTCCCACAATGTCTGAAACACTTTTTCTAAACCCTTTTTTAAGCATGCAGAGTCCTAGGAAGTAACAAGCTGTATTCTGGAGCTTCTGCTCATCCCGTTCTCTGTTTTTGTGTCCCACATCTCACTTTAGATGGCTGGTGTCAGTTCTGATCAAAATGCTGGGGCCGATTGGCAGTTTATTCACATTGTAAATAAACAAACAAACATACTAAGATACTGATGAAGACTTACCTTTTTTATAACTTCCTCCGTGTGGTCCTTTATAAATGAATTGGTCTCATTTATTTCTGACAGTGTGAGGTTTATCAGATTCTGGTGGGATATATCAGTGTTAGGTTCTTTCAAAAGCTTCTGTTCAAGTATATCTGAGCTGTTTGCTCAAGGAAAATAGCTTACACACTAGCATCACAAATCCCACAGCATATTAAAAGCTGGGATATGTCCTTTGATATATTTTTATTAAATTAAACATGAAGGGAATGATGTCAATAAGCATTTTAAATCAATTATATTCAACATCACACAAATAGCTCCGCTTATGCTATAGGTCAGAGGTGGCGCACTGATGGCACGCGGGCCAGATAAGTCACACACAGGCCACGCCCATCCCAGTTCTGCGAAGGGGAAAAAGTCACATGTCACGTGACGTGGCAAGTTTGACACCGGTGGTATAGATGGACCTTCCATACTCATTCTCTCCTTTGTGTGATGTCTACCAATCACTTAACTGTGTTCAGTCTTGTCATAAATTTAATAAATTTAAATCCTTTTTATGCCAAGATAAAATTTTGAACTCTCCAACTTGCACTTAGTAATATGAAGTCATTATTTTCTATCTCTTATCTCAAGGCCCAAACAGATTGGCCTGTAGCAGAACTTCTGAAATAGAGATAGCTCCTTTTATCTATACAGAAATCTTTAGGAACCCTAGAATCAAAGGGCTCTTTCCCAGTTTTTCACTTCCACCCAGCCTGCTTACTGGAATTTGAGGTGTAGATTTCTGCAAGCTCTGGACACTTCTCTTCAAGGCATCCTGAGGGAGAAAACAAATAAATTCTTCATTCAGTGATACCAGGTTTGGTCAAATAAAATAAAGAGAGACAAGGGAAACCACACCCACAATTTCTGGAGGAAATTTGAGGTTTATCCACTTTTGGATCTCCTTCAGCTCATTAGCTTGACGTTTCAAATTTCTTTTTGTATCATCGGTTGTCTGAAAATGAAAGAAAGAATAAATGAATGAATGAATGTGTGTGTGTGCATAGTTATATATAGTTATACAGTATATATATCATATATAATCATATATATGATTATTTGTTTTTATACACACAGTATTCATTGAACTTGACATTGACTCATATCCAATTACCATTTGTGCTCTGTAATTTCAATGCCCCATTTCACTCCACTCTCCCTCAACCATTACCTTCTAGTTCAAAACAGGTCCTACTCCAACTATTTCAGTGAGGCCAGGATTTAGTACTGAGACAGTTTGGTCATGCTTATTGATTGCGCGTATGGTTGAGCCAAGATGTCGATCACGTGTTCCTTGATCTCTTAGCGGCTTTCAGTATCACTGACCATAGTATCCTGAGATAACTTCATGGGTTAGGGATTGGCGGAGCAATTTTAGAGGGGTTATCTTCCTTTCTCTAAGCCCAGACTTATTCCATTTTTGAGCATGGAAGAGGTAATACTGCCTCTCAATATTTGGTGTGCAATCTAGGAATCTTCCTGGACTTGCAGCTCCTGCTGCGACCAGAAGGGTGTTTACACTTCTGGTGTACAGGTTTTGCTCTTCCCTAGATTGGGAATCCCTTCAGATAGTGCTCATGCCTAGTCACCTTCTGGTTTGTCTACTGCAATGTGCTCTATGCTGATTTCCCTTGAAGACTTTCCAGAAGCTTCAACTGATCCAGAATGCAATGGCAGGAGTGGTGATGCACATGCCTTGGTATATCCATTTAACATCTCTGCTTCGCACTGGTTACTAGTTTGCTTCTGGATATGATTTATGGTGCAACTCAAGGTTACCAGCCATGCCTTTGGCGAGGGTGAGTGAGACTTCTCACTTCATTCCATCTGGTCTATTGTGCTTGCCATCTTTTTTCTTTAACTTTCATATTTTATTTTTATTGTAATGTATTTGATTGATTATTGTGAGCTATCCACAGTTGTAGGGAATCAGGTAGCATACAGCTATTATTATTATCATCTCTTTTATTCATTAAACATGAAACTCAGTCAGCTGAACATTTAAAAATGTATCACAAATATCATTGACTGGCTTTGATGATAGATACAGGTTGCTGCCAGTATCCTAGGTATCAACCAAGTATCTTTAAAATGTACATTGTTCCAAGTAGAGCAGTATTTTGCAGCTCTGCTTGCACTACAGCAGGAAGCTGCAACTTCTTGGTGTATTTTGCAAAACTCTTGGACATGGTACCAAGTGCCCCAATGACAATGGGTATCACTGTTACATGTTTCATCCATAAATGTGCAATTTCGATGGCCAGGTCACTATATTTCGTGTTTTTTTCCAGTTCTTTTTCTTCGACTCTGGCATCTCCTGGTACAGCAATATCAACAAATTGCACGCTTCAGCCCTCGACAACCGTAATATCTGGCGCGTTGTGTTCCAAATGGCGATCTCTCTGTATTCATAAATCCCACAAGATCTTCACTACCTCATTCTTGACAACCTTTTCCACTTATTTATTTTTTTTCTACTTTCTGCCCCCACTAATAATAATAATTATCATCATCAATAATTATCATCATCATTACTAATATTCAGATCTCGTTATTTTTGTGCAGTTCATTGCCAAAGCTATTTGAAGGCCACATTCCAAGACACTATTTAGAAGAGAATTAGTTTACATCTTCCAGTGGCAGCTGGGAGAATAGCTGCATCTGCCAAATTCCCTGTCTACTCAAAAGGATTTCCCATAACATCTGCTGTGTATCTTAGAAGTTGAGGAAGAGCATTATATAGGATCGTGTGGGTATCCTTTCTCAAGGACTACTCACGCTGTTTGCCACTCCTTCCAACTTATTAGCCAAGATATTCAGGTCCTGTTTGGTCAGATTTTGGTTAAGCTACAGAAAAAGAAGAAAAAGAGAACACAGAAGTCAAGCAAACAAAATACATTTGAATGAATTAAATATGGAATTGAAAGCAGATTTACTTTTGAGTATTTCTGCATATTTTCCAGTCAATAGTCATGTTTTAATATAATACATGTTATTGTTTTTCCTCGTCTCATCACTAGGAGGAATGAGTTCACCTCATCCCTCTTTTCTGCTGATCTACCATCAGAGATTTTTCAAATATCCACTAACAGCTGTTAGATTATTTGCTTTTGGATACATAGGCATTTTTATGACTGTTTTCTGACAGCACAGCAATCCAACAAGTTTTCTGATTATAAGGACTAGGTAAAGTGTGTCCTGTTCACAACAGCATTAACAGGCAAATTGATCAATCATGCTAGCCTATTTGATCACTGCTTAATCACTCATTGTAATTGCTATTATTTATAAAGAATGACATGTTTTTATTGCATTTTTATTATTTCATTATATTAGATTGAAATGTTAATCTATACATATTGTACATTTTGTAAATACTCTGTCAACTGTTTGGCTATAGATGGTAACTTCACGGCTTCACCAAACACATCACAACTGGAGCAGTTGCCAATAACCTACTTTGACAACATCAAGTCAGAATCCTTCTAGTAGTAGACTCTTAACTTCTGTAGCAGGGAAACAGTAATGTGTTCCCCAGCAAATGTGAACATCGCCCATTCTCCAACAGAGCAGTTGGAGAAGATACAGAAGAATGTCTGGTCCTTATAGAGCTCCTGTTCTGGGAAGGAAATTATCACACCAGTTTTCCTTTCTTTCACAAGCCTTTTCTTTATTTTCCATCTTACTTGTTCAAGGGTACTGTTAAAATCCACATTCAGAGGCCCATCTTTTGCACTCAGTTTCAGCAAGCTGCGTTTTTGCTCATCCTCCAGGAGTTCAATAGTTCCAACATTGATTTTTATTTTATCCAAGGTTGAATCAATGTCTTGAGTGTACTAGAAAAACGGAAATGCCAGATGAGTATAAGCAGAGCACAACTTCATTTGTTCTGCAGTACATTCTCTAGACTCGTTCAAGGGGGCTGTAGCTGTACCATATACTTAAATGCTTAAACTATTCCTGGTGACAACCCTAAGCTGATGTTTGGGAACAAAATGTTAACCGATGATGGCATTTCTCTAGCACCAGATTGATTCAATAGAGGCAGCCATCAATTACCTTGCTGATGTTGAAGGTGTCATTCAAAGAGACAATCTCATCTAGGTGAAAGGTACTCCACAAGGGTGCATTTTCTTCACAACTCCTTTAAAAGAGGAATAATTTGAGTTGAGAGGCTAGGATGCATATTATGTGAAGCATAAATTGGATAAAAGCATCACCCCATAGACCAAGCTCTCCAGTTTTCCACATTAGGTCTCCCCACACCACCCCTGCTCCATAGCTAGAAAGCTCTTCAGAATGGCTCAAGTGTGTTGTTTTTTTCTCCAAAAGACAGCTGGGCTTTCTTGGTATTTTATTTGAACTGAAGAAGCTTCTTGAATGAGAAGTGAATCATTTTCAAAGAAAACACTAACAAAGTTCAGTTGCTTTTTGGAAAAAAACACATTTGGGACAACCATGACCTAGATCAGTGGTAGCTAACCTTTTGGGGCTCCCATGCTGATAATTGCACGCATGCTTGCCTGCTTCTGCTCACGTGCCATCACCCAGAAGGCAATGCGTGTGGCCCCTCATGCCTCCTGCACATGCGTGCAGGACCCGTGCAACCCACGCTGCGTGCTTCTGCGCATGTGTGTGCAACCCCCTGCACACACCGCATGCTTCTGGACATGCATGAGTGTCTTCTACGTGCTGCTGCACCCCTGGACATGCATGCCAGGTACCCGACAATTAGCTGTCAGGCGCATGCACAATACACCTTTTCTGGGCGAGTGTTTGCATGCCAACAGTAATGGCTCGCATGCCATAGGTTCGCCACCACAGACCTAGATGATTGAGAATCTCCAAAAACATCTTCAGAACGGCCTTACTGTAGAAGCAGGTGCATTACAGGTAATCCTTGACTTACAATAGTTAATTTAATGACCATTCAAAGTTATAATGGTACAGAAAAAAATGACTTATGGCTGTTTTTTACACACTTATGACCACTGCAGTATCCCCATGGTCATGTGATCAAAATTCAGATGCTTTGCAACTGATTCATAATTATGACGGTTGCCCTGTCCCAGGGTCACATGATGTCCTTTTGAAACCTTCTGACAAGCAAACTGACAAGCAATGTAGAAGCCGGATTCACTTAACAACGGTGTTACTAACTTAACTGCAGTGATTCACTTAACAACTGTGACAAGAAAAGTTGTAAAATGGGGCAAAAGCAAAACACACTTAATATTTCATTTAGCAACGGAAATTTTGGGCTCAATTGCGATCATAAGTTGAGAACTACCTGCATTCATTCCTATCACTTGCACACATAAACAACTAGCCGTCTTCCTTGCAAGGAGCAGGTGAGAAAACTTCAGCTTTTGCTGCCACTGATAGCAAAAATATGTACATTGTTTTCAGCTGCTTCACTGCAATTACAGCAACCTGGTCCTGTTACTTAGGTGATCTGCAGACTCTCTGGGACCAATGGAGTGGAAGGATGGGCTGGAGGTAAAAGGCACTCATTCACTGAGGGAAACTGAAGGGGCTTGCTCAGGAGAACTCTGTCAAGGTAGGACCTAAAGCAGTGCTCCCCAACTCCATGTCCTTGGACTGGCAGCGGTCTGTGGCATGCCAGCAACCAGTCCACACAAACAAGCAAAGCTCTATCCGTGGGATGCAGGCAGCATGCAAAACCATGCCCTTTCCGGTCCACGGAAAAACCTTTCTCCCCGGAAGGTTTGGATTCCTGGTGCCCAAAAGGTTGGGGGCCACTGACCTAAAGCACATTATTTGTGTAGCGATCACAGGCTGGGAATATGGTTCATATGATAGTCTAGCAAGCTTTTACTGGTTTATAAATACTTTAATCAGTGTAGCACTTCCATGTATTTCATTACTGGCTGATAAGCAGCTATGTCCCTCTTCTGTACAAGGTTCTGTACAACCCCCAAAACCTATTTCATTAGGCCTGCAACATTTATGTTCTCTCCAGATTCTCTTTCTCTGAAAGGAAACGGAAGAGAAACACAATGGCAGTTCAGCCAAGCAGCCTGGCACTTACTTGTATATGCTGGTCAGGTTTACATCAGAACCGTTCAAATTCATGAGCTTTTTCACATTTAATTCAGGGAACAACCCAGGTGTGTCCAGGTACTACAAAAAAAAAAAGATAAGTAGCAGCTGATGAAACCTTTCTAAATTTTCTTAAACTCTTTACTGATTCCCCCAGCTGTATTTTCTCCCCTCCTGAAGCTGAAACTGCTGCAGCCAGAAACTAAAATAAAAATGACTTATGAAAGTTGAAAGAGGGAACTGCAAACAAAGATTGCAAATTAATGTATACCATTATTAACTCTATAACCATGAGCTATCCTTCCATGTATCACAATATTTATGTATTTATTTTATTAGGCTTATGTGCAACTTCAATTATCAACCAACTCTGAGCAGTCCTGTCTCCTCATTCCTAATCATGAGGGGGACTCTTAGCAGTTATAAACACAATAGCAACCTGGGTGGCTTACCTGAAGGATCACTCCATTGGCCCAAGGCCGGCACAGCAATGTGTATGAATTGCCCCCAACTAAAAATAGTACTAGAACCAGCAACATCAGCAACCATGAAAATATAAAGCTGAATCCAACACTCCTGTCATGAAAGATGAGAAACAATCAGAAGTCTACAATACAACTATTGATTTGGATGTGAACACCCCACAGATGAATTCCTACAGTTGGGTCTTATATTCTCATGTTGCCACTTCTGTGAAGATCCCTAGAGCAAGGCAGGCAAACAATGTGCTGAAGCAAGTAGAGGACATTCTCAACTTAGTAGTGTACTTTGCCATCAACAGTGGCACTTGTGTACAGTGCCACTCTGTTTTCCTGGTAGGAATCTATGCCAAGTGTAAAATTAGAAAACTTTCCATAAAGTGATTTCTCCAAACCAACTAACATTACATAGAAATACAAGCAGCGCTTGTGGCTATGATCTGGAAGGATACAAAGAGGTTATTGTCAGTTATTTCCCTATACTGGGCGGGGAGAGAAGACAACACTTCTTACGCCATAAAGAAGTTTCCACCAGTGTTGGAGAGGCAGCCCCGTTTGGTAGGCCATTGCATTCCATTTGGATCTAGCCCAAGACCACCAAGCAAAAGGCCCAACACATTGAATGCAATTATTACAAGCAGCAGGCAGCAAAGGCAGACGCCAACACCCCACCTACAGTGAAAGAAATCAACTAGTTAACACTCAGACTTTAAACAACAATGAAGGAAGAAAGGGGTGAAAACATGCTCAATGGGGTCAAATCAGTTCAATTACCGTTAAGTTGAAATCAGAATAAGATAGGACTATGCTGTGCATAGACTAGCAGACTGGCTTTGTTCAAACCGGATGTTTACCAACCAGGATTATAATTTTCTCAATTAACCAAATTTTCTAAGGTGTATAACACATTAAATCACAAAGTAACTGCATGAAATGGGTTTGCATTCTAGGCTAAAATGTGCTTGGATCATTTGTAGCTCAATGTATTATGAACACAGGCGCTAGAAATTAAAGGAAGTAATGAAAACAATAAGATCCAATTCAAACCCAGAGCACAAGAATTGGTATTAAATGCTGATTTAATGATAAAATAGAGCATTAAGTTTTTGCAGATTAGAGGTGCTGGTCATTCAAACAACATCGTTTGAAACAGTACCTCAGAGAACTCTAGAGGCCTAATTTTTCTTCTGAGCTACACCATATTTTTCTATGACTGACCTTCTGCCTGCTAAAATGGAATGTAGATATCATTCCATCTGAACTCTGAATTCAAGTAATTCTGCAGCATATGAAAAATTGAGAAAAGTTTTATTCCTACCTGTAGCCATCATATGAGACCACAAGTGGCTTGTAGTAATTTGCCTCCTTGACAATATTTTCCATGAATGCAGAGATGTCCTTCAGTGAGATCTGCTTGTGCAACTTATCACTGATTGCATTAATTTCATTCTTGATATCGTAAAGTAGATCTTGTATCTCTTTAATAATAGGAGCCAATACAGATAAACTCATTATACTATATGTACTATCATGGACCATCTAAACAATAACAATAATCCAAGGGCAATGGATATGCTAAATTTTCCAACTCATACTCTGTACAGGTACAATTCACATTGCATCTTAATCTAAATGATGCAATTAAAACCTTTTATTGATGCAAATCAAATACTTCTATTAAAGCATCTTTAACAAAGCAATAAACAACAGACAAAGCTGACTGTAAATTCTGGGAGTGAAGATTACATTTTGGGGGGAGGGATCAGTTTCCATTAAATGAAATAAACTAAAGTCAGGGTGAAGCAGGAGCAGAAAAATAGCTGCACATGGGAAGAATAAGTAGAATAATTCAGGAAACTAAATATGTTTCAGCAAAGAAATTGAAAAACAATGTATCATATCAAAACATAGGATATTTGTCTAATACTGCATCAGAGCTTCATCTTACGCATATTAGCTATACCAGGGGTGTCAAACTCGATTTCATTCAGGGCCACATCAAGGTTGTGTTTGATCTCGGGGGGGGGGGGTTGTAGGAGCGTGGCCAGGGTGGGTGTGGCCAGTTCAACATCACTCGTGATGTGATGACCTCCTGCATCATTCTACCAGTGAAAAGAGACCGCAGGAGCTCCTTTTTCACTGGCAGATGGCTGCAGGAGGCTGTCGCAACTGAAAATAGAACTCAGGAGGGCTGTACGTGGCCCCCACAAACTCCGTTTTTGCTGGCAAACGGCTGCAGGTAGCCATCATGGCTGAAAACAGAGCTCGGGAGGACCGCATGCACTCCCCTTAGCTCCATTTTTGCTGGTAGGACTGCAGGAGGCGATGGCAGCCAAAAACAGAGCTCGGGAGGGCCTTAGTGGCATTTTCATTGGCAGAGGGCTGCAGGAGGCATTGATACCGTGTGGCCCCCAAAGCTCCATTTTCACTGGCAGAGCACTGCAGGTTGGTCCTTTGCAAGTTGGTCCCTCCAGGATGGCCCCATGGGTCAGATCTATGCATCCCACAGGCCAGATCCAGCCTGCAGACCTTGAGTTTGACACCCCTGATCTACACTGTCTAATGTTCATACAAACCCCCAGGATGTTTAACCATCTTAATGGTTAATTAAGCAAGCCATAGTGGTCTGATTCATACATAGATAGGATAAATGCGTGCCTTTACACAGGTGTAAAAAAAAAGGGAAACTGATTAGACTGTGCAAATTCTCAGAGGGACAGTGCTTCTCAACTAATTCTCAACACCTGAGAGTTTTTACAAAAATCAAAAGGGTACCTGCATAGAAGTCTATTGCACCTTCTCAGTGCCTGAGAGTTTCCTTGCAGCCTTCTTCTACTTTGTGATTGGTGGACTCTCCTCTATCTCTAACCGTTGGAAACTTCTAAAAGTTGGAAAAGGCTTCTACACAAGAATAGTGCTTCACTGAAGCCTTTCTTAACTTGCACAGATGTTAGAAATAGGAAACTTGGAGATGACATTGGTTGAGGGTAATTTTGTTGCACTCTTGATTCAGTGAGAACATATTGCATCCACAATGTGAATGTCTTTAGAGTGGCAAATAATTACATAAGACAATAAACCACCCCCTAAGTTAATACAGTAAGCAAGCAGGGTAGCAGTTCTTCAGAATTTCTGCTATGGATCTCTTGAGTCCTACCTGAAGAAGCCAGAGATTGGACCTAGGCTTTTTTGCAAGCAAAAAGTGTGCCTTACTAGTAGGTTTGGTATATATGGGTACTAATTACTTAAAATCTACACAATACTGACCACTGTATTCACACCAAGAGCGGAAACATCACTAGGCAAAAAATACTGACACTGACATTAGTGTATTAAAGAAGCCACCAAGACTGTGGCTTGGAAGGAACTGAAATAATGGCATCCTAGCAAAGTAAAGCATTTACCGTAAATGTCTGAATACAGTTCAAAGTGCAGCTTATGATTTATAAAGCTGTACACAGCTTGGGCCAAGGCCTTTTGAAATGCCATCAATGCTTGCCAAAATCCTTTGGAGACATTCTACCCTTTGAGCAGTGGTGCGATTCAAATATTTTTGCCACCGGTTTGGTGGTTGTAGCTTGGTGGGTGTGCTTTGCGCGCATGCACATACTTTGCGTGCACACCTGTGCAAAATGCGCACTTTCCACAGGCGCAGAGGCATTCTAACTTGCCTCCTGCAAGCCTGCACGATCTTGATCGCTTCAGTTGCTGCTGCACGGCACTCTTCTGTGCCGCGCAAAGCAGCAGCGCTTCAAATTCAGCAGATAAAAGTGAGTATGGGAGCCCCGGTGGGTAGGTGGGCCCAACAGCAGAGTGGCGAAGAGAACCGGTTCAGTCTCCGCTGCTCATCACTGCTACTGGCTCGCCAGAACCAGACCGAACCGGTAGAATACCACCACTGCCTTTGAGGCATATTTGGTGAAAACCCAAGAGGACACATCTTCTGTAGCTGTTCCTGGGCTTTGGAGCCCTCTTCCAGAGGTGCCATATATATATTCAGAGAAGCTTTGGGCTATACCAGAGACCTTTGTCTTACAGAGATGCACATACAGAGAGATAGAGATACATACATTTCTAACTGTGTGTTAATTATCAGTAGACTCTCAGTCTATATATTATTGTTATTAATAACTATATATTTAGTTACTATTTGTAGCACCTTTCAACATTGTCATTAATTGTTTTAAATGGCTTCATGCAAGGAAAGCAGCAGAAGTCTTTCTTTCTCTCCCCCAAACTCCACCAGAAATGAGTCTTTGCCGGCGCAGCCTCTTGGAGCAGGATGCCTTGCAGAGTCCCAAAGACTCATTTCCGGCAGAGTTTGGGGAAGAGAAATAAAGACTTTTACTGCTTTCCTTATGTGCAGCCAAAAGCAAAAGAAGTGGAAAGAAGCAGCCTGGTAGACAGGCCAGGCACATGGGGTGAATGGGGCAAGTTCCCCCCCTCCACCATTTCCCTCCTCCCCTCACTACCTCATGTTGTTCACAATGCAAGTGACACAAGCCTTGTATTCCCGCACAGCCTGGATTAATTGCTTTGGGGGGTACTTTGAGTGTGACATTTCTCTGCGGACCACCAAAATTTTCTCACAGACCACCAGTGGTCCACTGGTTGGCAACCACTGATTCAGGAGATGTAATCTAGCATTATTTTGAACTTCTGCATTAAGGAAGTGACTCAATTAATGTAAAAAAAAAAAACCCACAGAATAATGTGTGAAATGAAGAAGAGATTCTATGATTGGGTTACTTACCAGACACCTCCTTTTTGGTTTGATTAGAGACTTTCTGTGGTATTTCTTTAATGAAATTTCTTGCCTACAAGCAAAAGGGATACAATCAGACAAAGATGAACACACACACAAAGCTCAGATCTCAGAATGTAAGTCAAGTAAAACATGACCCCAAATTGCTGAACAAAAGACAAAGGCCCAAGAAGATACATTTGCTATCTCTCCAAATTAACAGATTTAATCCCTTTAGAGGACATAGGACAGGTCTCATAAATAGGCTTCATCAGTCCATGAACAAAATGGCTCCAAACAATGACCAATGATTGTTGAAGTGACCATTTTGTCCTGTTCCTCAACCTCTTTTGGGCAAGCCAACTTATTGCACTGGCACTTGGGAGTAGATACTTGAAAGAATAATTGTAGAAGAAAAGGAGGGTGTTACCTCTATTAGAGTACTGTTGAGATTTAAACTTGTCAGATTAGATATCAACTTAAGTGGATCATTGACATCAGGAATCTGCAGAAAGAAATAATGCAGAAACATGTGTTTTTATTGTTTGATCAACCACAATTTGAGCAATGGGGAATTCAAGTAGGATGAAGTGAAGACACATAAAGCAACAGCTGCCATATAGAAATGTACGTACACATATGGATGACTAGGAGTTAATGAACACAGATCTAGACATCTTGAAAACATATTCCTACATTGTAACCTATTCTATATTGTGTTACAATTGGGGCACATTTGATTTTATGGCTTCTGATTTCAGCCTCACATGGATCAATAATCTCAGCAGTCTTATCCCAATTACATTATGCTTCCCTAGCCTGACTTTTAAGATGCATCAGGAATTGTATTTCTATGTCCCCCCAACACATTGAACACTTTATCATAACTCTGACCCAATCAGGTCTTTTCCTGTGCCGTCAAATAATCCACCCTGCCCATCCAAATATTTTTCTCTCCTCCAAGCTTCATTCTACCGTATCAAAATTGGCCTCAGGTATCAGGTTCTCTATGGACACTTCCCCACATGGGCTGCCACATTCTTTCAGAGTGCCATTGATCTCCGTTCTCAGGTCAGTCAGATTTTTATTCAGCTCCTGTTGCATTTTCTGCAAGCGACCACCAGTCTGGTTGACTTTCTGGAGTTCCTGGTCTATGTGCTGAATGTCTGTTTTTAAAAAAAAAGTAGGAAGGACTGAGTAAAGACTGAGGAACAATTCTCCAACCTAAAGTGTCCACTTAGTTCTTGATTGTAAAAGAACTCAAAGCTGATTTTGTGCAAGATGCAAGAAACCATTAAGGAAGGAGTTGGACATGATATTGCATAGTCCAGAAATAGAAGGAAGCATGAGAAAGGAGCTCAAATAAGGCCACCTTGATTTTGTTTGGTATAAGATGGGACAGAGAGAAACTTGGACAGGCTATCAAGATTCGGTGATTATATCCTATAACAATAAATGGCATTCCTAGAATTCCATTGTCTGTTTCTTGAACTGGTCTACCTCAAAAGACCAGCACTGATTTTGTCCACAGGTAATTACTCCTCAAACATTTAAAACATAATGAAGTCAATCAATAGGTCTCCAGCAGTTTCACAGTCTTTGGTTCCCATGGTTTGGCTCTGGAGGGAAAACCAAGAACTTTTTTCCTTGTCGTGGCATCTCTTATGATGAAGTTGGCAAATCACTTGTCCCTGGAACTATAACAAAGTCTAGGGTTTTTTTTTCATGAGAACTTTCTGTAAAAGTTCCTTCAACTTCTGGGCTGCCCTCTATTATCAATGTATTTGTGCTTCCATTCTACTATTCTATCCCAATATCATTTCCCAATCCGGTGTCTTGCAATACCTTGAAGAAGCTGCTCAGTTGTGTCTAATACTTTATTTGCTCGTCCACCTAGTTCATCCTTAATCTTGCTCCCCAAGGTATTGCCAATATCTGCAAAAAGGGAAAGCATCAACACAAAGTTACTAACAGAAATACTTTTTCCACTGCCCTTTCTCTGTAAAACCCCATGGCCATTTAACATTTTTAGGATGGATGGACAGAAATGTGCAAATGGAAATATGTTTTTTGCGTATACTTTCTGATTTGACCATACCCGTTTTTCCTTCACTTTACACACACAAGCTCCGCAAGAAATGATACGATTCACATCAGTTGACCTAAAAGAGCTTGTCCACTCATGCACTCAAAAATAACAATACAAATTTGTATCCCTCCTTTATTTTGTACAAGGTAGCATACATAATGCTCTTGCCTCCTATTTCGCTAGAATGGAAATATTCAAAGGTATTTTCCTAATCTGTAACTATAGAATACAGTGCAATAATGACATTTCACAAGTTGAAACATTTTCAATATATCATTGTGAATCCCATAAAAAAATGTATCCAAGGCATAAACTTACTCAACAAGCTATCATTGACCTCCGTCAATGGTACTTTACTAGCGCTGACAATTTCATTTATTTCCTGTGGGAGAGATGAAATAAAATCCCATTGTAGCAGAGAAGATAGCACACAAAACTAAAATCCTGAACTCGGGATTCATGGATTCATGGAGATTATGAGGAAAAACATAGGATGTCATATACAATTTGAACACAACACTATTCAAATATGTCTATTATAGCAAAAGGCCTTCCTATATGTTTGCCAGATATAAAGTCATATATTGACTATTCGTATATAGATTCAGATGGCAAAGTCGCTGTAACCATCAGAATTGTTGAACGAAAGAGTCATTATATAAGCATCAAAGACTGAAATATAGTACACATAGAAAATAGATCCTATATTGCCCTGAAATAATATTTGTTGAAGATTTTAGTAGACTACTTCTAAGGAACTGTCCTATGAGGTTTTTGTCACCAACAAAAAAAAAAGATACACAAAATAAATGCAATATTTGGTTCTGGAGGTAAATGAGGGAGGGAGGGAGAGGGAAAGAGATGGGGCTAATTTTGAAGGTAGTCTAAAAATATCCATTAGTGCAAAATACAGAATAATGGGAATAGACATTATGGCCATGTTTCCTGCACTAGCTCATTTCAACTAAAAAGAGTTGATACCAACCAATGCAGTCCTTCGCAACTTGGGGCCACACCTTCTGAAAGGATGTACCTTTCCATTAACTGTCACTTGTGTCATCTTTAGAAGTCCTACTCTAAATGCCCTCCTATCCTGAAGCACGGCCATCTGACTAACAACTCTCCAATTTTGGCATGGTCTCGTTGAAGATAAAGCTTGACAACCATTTTTTTGATACTAAAAACTAAGATGGCAACTGGAACTGATACAGTATTGAGTATGAAAAACACGGGATAAAATAGAGTGGTAAAGATATAATATAAAATAAATCACATTTACCTGAGGTATAGAATTCATATAAACATTCAGGTTGCTCACTGTATTGTTGAAAATGACAAAACCTCTCCCTAGACCCTGGGATATTCGTTGGTTGCTGACATACGCACATATATCTCCAGCCCTTTAGCAGAAGAAGTAAAAAGAACAAAATTTTGAAGGACAACTAGTAACATCATTCAACAGGCTGCAAACATAGCTCCATCTCCGACCTGGGCCGGTTTACCCCTCCTTAGGCAACCTGGTGGCCCTCGGCTCCCCGGGGATCAGCATATTGATGCCGAACTTAGTGCAGACACCTGATCGGCATAGCCTACTGCAGCCCAGAACTCCTGAGCTCAAGTGCTCTGACAGCCTCAGCCTCCGGAGTAGCTGGATTACAGGCTCATGCCACCGTGCCCAGCTTGCAAACATAGCAATATGTTGGTCTTATCAACACAGCAATATGTTGGTCAAAATATAAATGCAATAAATTGTGTATGTATACACACACACACACACACACTGATCTTGTGTTAAGTATTTGAAAAACTATGGGGATACAAATTTTGTAATAGATGTAAATTAGTTGAGTTCTTTTCTGGCTTTGCATGATGTATGAAGCCACCAATTCTGCCTTAACATCACCTATCAACTATTATATTCAACAATGTGTTATCTTAGCATTACGTGTAAAGGTGAGCATAATATAAGGAAAAATATGTATGGTTCAGAGCCAGCACTTAATGCCTTGTGTTCTAACATTACAGAATCATAATGTGATTTCAGCTTGGAATTCCCTAGTTATGTGATTTGTCAATGCATTTTTTTTTATTCTGTAGCACCTTCTCTCTTTAACCCCATCAACTCACTTGTGGTTAATAATGCCATGCACAATCTCTTTGTAATCCTGCCTGCATTAACAAAAATACATCATGGGTAATTTTGATCTTTGTGTTCTTCTCAGAATACTATGGAAACAAATTATATACTAAGGGTTCTCTCCAGTGGGTGGGAATTTCTGTAAGGAACAATAAGGATGTGTTTGCAGTCCACACATGCTCAAGGACAGGTTTATGTTTTAACAATGTGCTTGTTTCTTAAAAGAAGTGCTGAGGGGAGTTTTGGCAAAATCTAGCATTACCAGGAATATTCCAGGCTGTTATCACATGGTTGCATTCTTTGGCCACAGAGCAACTTTGCAACTATTTAGTCCCACACAGTGGAATCTGCTCTTCCACCATGGTAATTTGCTTTAGTGCTTTCCCTGCTTGACCCACCCCGCCCCAGGCCCAACTTTCAGGAAACCATTCCCCAAGTACAAACAATCCTGTGCCAAGGAGACAGAAGATCTGGATCATATCTCGGTTAACTCTGTTGTTCGGCCACTCTTCACATTATATTAGGAATATCTGCTGTGTTAGTATTATCCATACAAATCAAGGAATCTGATTTCAATGTGTTTCCAGAAGCTTGATCAAGTGGCAAAATCAACAAGAAGCATCTTAAAGATTAATCAATTTATAATAACTTCATCTTTCATGGATCGTCTACTTCATAAGATAAACTTTAAGGTGCTACACAATTTTCTGTCGACGTAAACCAGGGGTGTCAAACTCACGGCCTGCGGGCTGGATGCGTCACATGCTGGCCCCTCCCCCGCCCAGTTTTGCAAAGGGGAAAAAAGTTCCGATACATTATGTGACACTGCTGTGACAATGCGAGTTTGACACCCCTGACGTAAACCAATGCAGTGCAGTGTAGTGCAGGAGTAGCTACTTTAAATCAGAGACTTTTGAGATAAGCAAAAGGCCATACAGTAGTCACATTCCCACATGCTCATTCTGTTATTCTCCATAGAATGAAACTTACAGAAGAACAGCAGTGATACCCAGCAGAAAGCAAAAAAAAGTCCGTCTCTTGCAGGCAGTATGTTTCTTCTGCTTCTGGTACATGAAACCTCCACAGTGTCCACAATAGCGGCAGCAACAGAAATACAAGCCCACTAGTGGCACAAGGACAATGAACAGAAGACCAATGACAGTACAAACCAGGAAGCCTGCCTCATACTTGAGCATCTAGTGATGGAGGGAAGCAAGAGAAAGTTAATAGACTTAACAATTTGTAGATGCTTTTCCACTTCATAATGCAGAAAGAAGGTCAGAAGACTAAACAGATGACTGCATCCAGGAGTGGGCATATTCCATTGGATTTACCTCAGATACCATCTTGTTTGACTACTTGTACTGCCTCGAAAAACCCACTAAGCAGCAAGTGTGTTATTTTCAAGTCTCAATCAATTAACCAGAGGACAAGGAGGCCTCAGCATATCAAGTGTTAGTTAGACATCTCTACATTTTCATTAATCACAAGGATTACACTCTATTCACCTCTTTATACACTGTCTGATTTTGAAAATCTTGATGCTTGACCACGTATGTCAGGAGATCTAGAAAGAAGCACAGAGAGATTGATGGACAATGCTATCGTTTATTTATTAACATTTAAGATAATCCATAACCAAGATTTGTTTAAAAATTCCTGTCTGGATCCTCAGTCGCCAGACTGAAAATGCCATTTCTCTAGATCCCTTTCTCCGAAGTTATTTTACTATTGCATATATGTATGGCAAATATAGCATTTTTAAAAGAGTGAATACATTTTTCATTCAAGACAATTAAATGAAAAAAATGCCTAGAAGGATTTCAATATTTTGACTTTCCCCACATATTTTTGTCTGGTGTATCACAAACTTAAATGTCCAGAAAAGGTTACAATGGCATGGAATTTGGGAAGAATCTCATGAACCTTTTGCCTACGGGCTTCTGGAAACCTTAGAAAGATACCAGTCTTAGAACACGTGGGGATTGGCTACTTCTACAAGGAAGTCAGCTGAAAATTATAAGAGTATAATGTATCTGTGTCATGCTAGAGCAGGGGTAGTCAATCTTTTTATACCTACCGCTCACTTTTGTATCTCTGTTCGTAGTAAAATTTTCTCTAACCGCCCACTGGTTCCACAGTAATGGTGATTTATAAAGTAGGGGGAAAAACCCCTACCGCCCACCATGAAAGCTGGAATGCCCACTAGTGGGCGGTAGGGACCAGGTTGACTACCACTGTACTAGAGGATCCAAATCCATGCAGCAATCAACTCTACACCAGTGAAGAACCAATCTGCAGATCTGAAAATCTCCATTATTCTATCTAATCATGAGAAGCTGTTAAAAACATGGCTCCAGGACCAAACATTATTCTTTTTTCCCTTTTTCTTTTCTACTCATGATTGATAAATAACTCTTTAACATTAATTATCTTGTAACAATTTTGTACAACTTCAATAAAGTCCCAAAGGTGCTTTTTCAAGAGGAAAAAGCACCTTTGGGACAACCTTGACTTGGATAACCAAGAATCTCCATAGACAACTTCAATAAAGGCACCTTTATGAATTTACATATAGGTTTTCCTAATGGTCAACATATCAGCTATAGCTTTTTAAACTAGAACAGTGATGAACAACTTTTTGATGGCCAAGGACTGTATATAATATTTGGGAGTAGATTAATAGATGCTAACAATCAGAGGTGATATTCAGCAGGTTCTGACCAGTTCTGGAGAACTGGTAGTGGAAATTTTGAGTAATTCAGAGAACCGGCAAATACCACCTCTGACTGGAGATTTTACAGTATCCTCCATCCCCTGCCACGCCCACCAAGCCACACCCACAGAACCGGTAGTAAAAAAATTTGAATCCCTCGACTGCTGACAATGTATATCAGCAGTATTCAAATGTTTAGTTTATGGACTGCTCTTTTAAGAGGCCTTTATTTTTTTAAAAGCTTTGATAAGACAGTTTTATGACCTACACCAGTGGTGGTATTTGACCAGTTCTGCCCGGTTCTGGAGAGCCAGTAGGAGCAATTCTCTCCAGTTCTCTCTGCTGCTCTGCTGTTGGGCCCACCCACCTGCCCGGGCTCCCCTACTCACCTTTATCCGCTGAATTTGAAGCGCAGCTGCTTTGCGCGGCACAGAATAACGCCACTTGGCAGCTGCTGAAGCAACCAGGACTGTGCAGGCTTGCAGGAGGCAAGTTAGAATGCCTCTGCGCCTGTGCAAAGTGCGCGTTTGGCACGCACATGCACGCAAAGTGTGTGCACACATGCAAACCGCGCCCAACAAGCCACACCTACCAAACCGGTGGCAACAATATTTGAATACCACCACTGACCTACACTATAGATTTCATATGTTTCATGACCGAAATGGCAGCATGTACTAATTTTCAGATATTATTTGAGTGGCCTTAGGACAAGATGCAATTCACCTTTACATTAAAAGAAAAATACTTAGTGTAGGTGTGGTTTTTGCTTGTTAAAATATATGATTTTTTTTTAATCCATGTAGCAATAGGGAGTGGCTCAGTGGCATAGAGGTAAAAATGCTCATCTCCCACATGGGAGGTTGAGAGTTCAATCCTACAAAGTGACAAAATTTCTCTATCAGGGTGCAAAGAGATAAAATCAGCTGTGAACTCTGGGAAGGTATCAGGAAGGGGATCTAGCCAGTAAATGTTCAGCTCCATTAGTGACCTTGAACCCACGCCAAAGCAAGAGATTAGAGTCAGAAAGAGGAAAAAAATGTGTAACAGTAGGATTAAATGATTTTCAGGTTTGGAAGCATACCTATCAGTCAGATTGATGTCTCAGCACATTTTATTTTCATAATTGTATATTGCATGAGAATTTATGCTGTACTCCATCAAAAAACCATTCAACTTGAAATGTAATCTCCGAGCATCAAAATCTTGTTGCAGCTTTCCAGCCCTCTCAGCTGTTTGCACTTCCGGTAAAACTCACTTTATTTGCATAAATATCTCCCTTGTTTACCCATAGCAAACATTTTTTGGTTTTGTTTCCTTTTAATGCATTGTCCCACCTTCCCCTTATGATCTTGGTTTTCTAAATGCTACCCTGGGAACTAATCTCCTATGAAAGGCACTTTCTAAATAAATTTAACTGAATTAGATTATATTCAACATAAATTTAAATGAATTAAATTTACTAAGATCTCTTGTGATTAAGTAAAGAAAGCACTGAAGAACGCACATCAGGTGTTTTACAAAGACTGAGTAGCAGTTCTTTTATAAAAAGAAAAGCGGGCTTCTGATTTGCAGGAATACACTATGCATCCGGCAAACAACATTTTTGCTGGGATTGAAGTTTTTGTGGACTTCTTTCCACAAGAGAGTTTGAGCATTGGGTCCAAAGCATCTAAGGTAAATCAGTAAAATAATGTTTAAAAGATAACTCTGTTTGAATGCAAGATATATCCCACAGAGGAAATCAAATGATGGATGCAGTCTGGATTCCCAGGAGTGAGGAGCTGAATTTCAGAGGACGGTGAAACTGTGAAGTTTAAATTGTTTGGTTGGGAGAAAGAGGATCAAGAGAGCTACTCCCTAGAAGTTCTCAGAGTATGTCTTTAATGACCCAGGTAGTTGCTTTAGTCTGGCAAGATTTCTATCTATAGGTAAGGAACAATAAAGGAAACCGCTTACAGTATAATAAAAGTAACTCTGCATATCTTTCTTGGGTTTTGGAACCTAGCATCAAATTACTTGTTGCTTTAGCATAACAGAACAGAGTAGGAAAAGGGAAACACGTTTTTTTTTGTTCAGGGAACTTTTCTTCAAACATCTCTTAAATCCAGATAACTAAAAGGCAGCATATCCTGGCATCACACCAGCAGAGCATTGGAAAAAGCTCTCCTTGCCTCCTAGGAAGAACATCAAGGCAATGTGAAGGAAGCCAACCTGATTTCTTACAGAAGGCTGCTGTGAGCTTGCCTATTTTTAGCTCTTACAAATAATAATTTCTATAGGAATAGCTCCGCCAGTCTTTTGCAATAACTTTTGAAAAAATTAAAATGCCATTAGGAACTTTGTAGTTTCTTCTCTAGAGGGTATCTCTGAAACTATTAATTTTTTCCATAATTTCTCTCAAGGTATAAAATCAAAAGCCATCTTTAGAACTATGAAGGCAATGTAGAGGGTTCCATTTGGGAGATTATTGTTATTTTTCTGCTAAATGATACAGAATTATATTCTGGTTTGTTGCAAAGAATCCAGATCTGAAACTGACTTGCTCAAGTACAAAAATATTCTTAACAGTCTGAACATTTATGACATAAAACTTGGCATATAGTTTACTAATTACTGAAAGAGGACTGGATGATCATTAACATTATATTGGGAGAGTAATAGAATTAAGCCATTCCTTGGGTATACATACAGTATATGGAATTCAAGAGATGCTAACACCAATTCCCACCATATTGGATTTAGCTTTAAAAATTTAAATGAGATTAAATATTTGCAGGTAAATTTATTACTTTTTTGATGGGCATTTTTTTAAATTTCAGCAGAAGATACTGAAAACACTCTGAATAAGATCATCAAGTGACTGAATATTGAGGATATTGTCTTGGATAGTTAAAAAACCTCAGAAGTGTCTGGACCAATGAAGAGAAAGTATATGATAATTATTATTATTGGTGTTGATGTTAGCTATAAATCTAGAAAAGCTGTCAAAACAGACAATGATCTTTATTTGTTACAGCCTATTAGATCCTGGCTCAGAACTTTAGTAGAAACCTGTTTTTGTTTTCATTCACCTGCAATAGCTCTATTTTTAATGTGTTAAAAAAATCACAGGTGTTCTGGCCATCCTATATGCTAGCACTGACCAGGCTTAACAGGGTTTGGATCTCTTGGTAGATTGGTATTAAGATGAGGTAGGAGAAGGTTAAATATATTTTTGAGCAAAGCTAATCAGGCTTTGAAAAATTGAGATTATTTCAAGATGGTCATTTGAAGCCAGTAGTGACGGATTCAGTTTAGTAACTTGTGGAACTTCAAAAAAACTGATATGTGGCCAAAGTCAACTTACATATCCACATTGATCTAAGATACCTGCCATTGGAGGGTATCTTATTCTTAATGCTATCTTCTTATGCTTAATAGATTTCTGGTGGCTATACTCACTTCTTATGGAAGTGAAAAGTCTCAATAATGGTAGCTGATCACTCTCAAAATGAAACGTTACTCTGCAATTTTTGTAATGAGATATATAGCCACTTTACGAGTAAAGAGGGTGGCCTTGAGGCAAAGAAAGAAGGAACATCTCCAAAGATTTGCTTTGAGTAATTTATCAAAACAATCAAGAGGGAAAGCTTTATTGTTAGTCCTAGTACAGTATGTATGTACAATATCAAAGAAAGCTATAGGATGCTGCTGATAGCTCTGACCAGACTATCACTCAGGGGATATTCTACTCAACATTGGATCTCAGCATGGGAAATGCCAAAGAATTTCCCTCTTAAATTCTAGCAACAAAGGTAATAATAGAATACCATAGTCTGATGGAAGGTATAATGTCCAGGTGACCGCAG